TCAGGGACATTTGTCGAACAGTGCTCGACGGACATTGGCCAATCGCTGTCAAGCAGAGTGCACCCCCGACAACGCGTGTTACACCCGGTGGCATGTCGCCAGGGAATCGCCTACACGGTGGCGCTGACGGTCGACAGTTGCAAAATACCAACGGTCGCAATCGACGGAGACGTCAACTGCGGCCGACCTGTCGCCTCGTCGCTCGAGCGAACTGTCGCTGTCGGATGGGCGACGGGTTACGTCTGTCGCAGTCAAACGTTCACGTCAACTGCTGACTGCCACCTCAAATGTCTCAGTCTCCACGGGGAGCAACATCAGCCCAAGGTCACTGTATAAACCTGAATTCATAGTAGAAGCACCACAGTTTCCTCAGCACGCCAGGATTTAGGGAGAAATGCTAGCTTTCGGTGGGCACTGATGGAGACCGATCCGTCGACGACAGCGCCTTCCCGGCAGGCGGACGTAGGATGGATACCTGTCGAATTGGAGTCCATCTCGACACCACCCCCTTCGTCGTCTGGAGCCAGGCCGGTTTCTTCCGCGCCCCCTTCGACGACGCGTGCCATACCGGAGGTGGCAGCGCCCACCTCGATGTCGCGAGCCATACCGGTAGTAATACAGCCGGTTGTTACGGACCAGCGTTCGACGGGTATTCTGGTCACTGTTGAAGTGGGTGGTGCACAGACCGAATTCCCTTCGACAGGTCAATCCATACCTGTTGTCGTAGAACCCATATCGACAACAAATGCCCCCTTTACACACGAGGCTCCAGCTCACCGTGCACCATCGTCGACAGCCCACCGCTCGACGGAACCTTCAGCTGGTGCACCAACCTCGAAAGGTGGGCGACGTAGGAGAGCGAGGGCTGTTCCGCCTGAGGTTCGCCAACCACCCCCTGCCGGCACATCCGCTTCTCGAGCCGCCCCCGCCGCTCCTAGGCGCACTTCAAGGAGACCAAGTAGAGAGGACTTAGCCAGGAACGTCCCTGAAGCGACGGACGATGACGATGTTCAGACGGGAGAACAGCAGGAGGCGGACGATGTCGAACCGCCGGACCCTCTGCGGCCTGCTGCGGCAAATATATCAGAGGAGGATGCCGCGCACATTCTCGGCGACCAACCGGGCGCAGACAATCCGTACTTGGCGACCGGAACACTTAAAAGCAGGATTCTCCGGTGTGAGGTTCCGCTGCTGGGAGTTGACCAGGATTCCACACGGCCGAACTATGGCTCTGGAAGCATGCACTACAAAGCTTGGGCCTGTAAAATTCTGGCACCCGAGAGAAGCAACGGAGTGCCTAAAGAGTAGCAGGTGATCTACGAGGACGAGATCGGTAGGGAGATCGGCGACGATATGGGGCCGAGATGGAGGGAGGCGCTGCGTAACGAGGAGCACCTGCATGGGCCGAGAATAACGAAGTGGCGCTTGCGCGCGTACGTCGAATACATGTCGACTAAAACCGACCAACAGGCGGCTTCGTTGGATACAGGCCGGACCAGAGTCGATGGAAGGAAGGCGAAAAAAAGCACCCCTCCGATGATGCTGGCGCGCCTTACTGCGCTAACGTGCTTCTGCAGAGTAGAGGCCATACTCTTCGACGAGCCACTAACGAAACCCTTGGACGACATCACCGAGGCCCGGCAGCTTCTTGCGGTCAAGCTGCGGCAGCTGCACGACTTTCAGTTCGAGTAAGTAGGCTGCCATACACCGGACTCTAAAACTTTTCACTCAAATTCTCACCCAAATACTCGCTGTATCTGCCCACTCAATGCAGGCAGTGCGTCGATCCACACCGGGGCTCGCTCGACGATGTTTACACGGAGGAGCAGTTCCGCATTCTCGTTTCAGACATCCTGCCGTACTGGGCCAAGGAGTACTTTCGGGAGTCGATGAGTTACCCCAGTGAGTCGCTGTGGAGGGCCTTGGCCGTGAGGGTGATGATCCTGATGGCGCATCACATGCTGGGCAGGGGGATAAGCATCCGCGAGATCCGCTAGTGCAATATGTTCACTCACGTCCTTCCGCCCATCACGAACAGCAAGGGGGAATCGTCGATCCACGTTCTCGTGGTCGCCTATCGCAACTCGAAGACCATCAAAGACAACAAGCTCGGCCACCTGTACCTGACTCGACACATGGACTTCCGGCAATGCGGCTTCGGAGTAGTGTTCATGTGGATACATTTCATTTTCGACCTTGTGCCGCTCCACTACAACAACGATAATATCGTGCCCCCCTTGGATTTCAGCAACCCGGAAAATTGGTCAAAGAAGCACCTGTTCTTCGCCCTCTTCGACAAGGACAAGACAGAGTTGCCGTACGCGACTCATGCCAAATGGGTTACCTGGGCGATGAAAAGCGCGGAATGGATCCTGTCGAAAGTCACACATATCTTTCGACGGTCTGCGGCACAGATCCTCGCCGACAAAAACTGGTAACTCGACAACATCGCGTAGCTGGGTCAATGGGACATGAACGAGATGCGCAGGTCATACGTCACAGGCATCCCGCGCGGGGCCATCCAGCTGCAAGCGGGTTTCACGACGGAACCGGGTGACTATTACCTTGGAAGATCGAAGAGCGAAGTACCCGCGAAGGTCCTGAAGGCTATCGAGGAGCACATATTTCCAAAGGCGGAGCAGTGGCTCGACGAGGTTTGGATGCGTCGAGCGCTTAGCGTGATCATCGAATGCAAGTTTTGCCCATCTATCTCTCAATGTCACCACGTTTGTTCTTGTTCAGGCGATGGAATGGAACAACGAGCAGGACAAGGAGCATATGTTCTTCGCAGCGAAAAGTTTCTTGAAGGCCCTGCAAGCCGCCCGAATGCCCATCGCCGAGGATCTTATGATGTACTACGTCCATTGTGACGACCACCCCTTCGACGGAGTGACTGTTTGCGACTGCGAGCGTCACCCTTATGCACAGATGTCCGATTTGTGCAAGGACATGGATTTCCAAAAATGGGCGCTTGACGTGTACCTGCTCGACAATTACGGCATCGAGATGTGGACCAACCCCACGTTGTCGAAAGCTTCGGTAAGATGGCCCTTCTAAATCTTGATCCGAACAGATTGCATCAGCCCACTTACCTACTGCTCGTGATCTTGTGCGCAGGACGCATCCTTTCAACTCAACACCAAGCACCTCATCACGCAACTTCGGGCAGAGGTCAGCTTACACAAGGAGGAGGGTGGGAAAAAAGAAATCAAGATCAAGGGCCTCGAGCAGAAGGTCGAGTCATTGGAGCGGGAGAAGGGCGCGATGCAAGCGGAGTTGGAGGCGAAGGCAGAAGCACTCTCGCTACTACAGAAAGCGTTCGACGCACTGAAGATTACCGCCGCGACAACCGCAGCTTCGAGTGTGGGGGGGAGCGAGAGTGTGCCGCAGACGGCGATCGAAGAAACCACCCCGCCACCACAGCAACCCCCTCAATCAACGCCCACTCAACAGAGCAAGGGCAGCCAGCTCGACCAAGCATTCTTCGACGCAGTGGTGTGGCCGTGGTGCAATAGCGAGACCGTGCGGCAGGCGTGGTCGTACTGGGACGGGCCAAGCCCGCTGAACAACGGACACAGTCTTCGACACGCTTACAGGAGGGGTTTCGGCGCCAAGTTCAGCAAGTTCACTCCGACTCCTCCCACCGTTCCCCCCGTTGCGGTGGACCAGCCAAAAGAAAAGCCACAGACCCCAAAAGCTGTTGAGTCGAAATTGCGGAAGATGGAGGTTGTCATGAGGGTCGTCGAGATATTCAGGGTCGACGACAGCAGCGCGGCTACGTCGACGATCATTGATAAGCTTGACTCAATAGTCACGAACCACTCGATCAACATGCTGGCTGAAGGGCTCGTTCTCAAAGAGGATTCGGGGAAGCAGCTCACGAAGAAGCGCAAAGTCGAGACAGCAGAAGACAACCGGAAGGACAAAGATCGCCTCAGGAACACGCGGGAGCTCATTCGCGTCGAGCTTCGAACCACGAAATGGGCCGAGAACGTGCTCAAAGACAAATGGAAAGAGTTCATGAAAACATTGGGCGAGAGCCCAAGTTCGACGAGGGGGGAAACTAGAGTAGGGTGTTCTTTCAGAGATTGCATGGCAGGTTCTCATTACTGACCAACCATCTCGTCTGTATGAACCTTCTGAGCATTATCGCAAACGGAAAGTCAAGATCCATGCAACATGTACATGCTGTCGATTAAACTTTCGAAACAACAAACACAACTGTCGAGAATAGCAAACACCCCCACGCAAAGTGCCCGCCTAGACTACTCCCCTTGCCCGCTCGTTTCCGTCTCAGCTACATCCTCGACGCCCTGCTTCGCCTTGCTCTTTTCTTCTGGCATAGCCAGGCTGCCATAGCCCGCGTCCTCTAGCAAGCAGGTAGCAGCTCGACAGCAGCACCATTGCGTACAGACCTGTGCTGCCACGCGCAGCATCTGCAGCAATATGGCGTCCGTCGAGCCGAGACCTTCGACAACCGACGAATACAGGTGATCGGGCCACTGCTTCGCCGGGAACGTCTTGCCGACGTGCAAAAGTATGGACACGAGTGCGGACATGGCAGCCACACAAGCCTTCTTTGCAGTCTCCGGGGCGTGATCGCCGCGTTTGCGGTAGCTAGGGCATCCTTCTTAATATCCTCCCTCGACAACTTCCTGCAGGCCGCCCACAAGCTCGCCACAGTTGCTGCGATGGCCATCATGTGCGGTGTCGCCGCCATGCCCTTCGGGACCGGGTAAATCAGATTCCCGTGCTTCAGGCCAAGCGTCGCGACCTTACCAATCGCCACGCACAGCGCGATTCCCCTCTCGGTTCCAGCTTTCACTTCCTTTTTTGCCGTCGCCAACAACGACAGGTAACTGCACATCGCAAGAAATGCGTTAGTCAAGAGGCTAGAATTCGACCGACAGCACATTCACCGCAAAACAGCAAGTGTTCGACAAATCACCAAAACAGCGGGAATTCGACAGCAAAGTCTAGCAACATGACTTCGACAGGACTTACTCGTCGAAACGACATTCCCCTTGTTCTTGCGCCACGCTCCAAACGCCGGTTGGCATTTCTGTGGCCGCATCGAGGTAGACCTTCCAGTCCTCCTCGTCCTGCGCCGTGTACCCTTCGTACTCCGTAAGGACAACGTCGCAGAAGTACACGCGCCAGCAGACGGCCGTACAGACTTCTGGTCCTTCTCTGTTTCAAAAGTGCCAAGGAACCGCTTCCTCCCGCCGACGGTCTGCTCGGAAACCAGCTTCCCCTTCCGCAACCCGAAACCCGGTCCTTTGAAGGGACGTTTGCAGCCTCTCGTCTTGCCTTGGTCGTCCGGTCGAGGAGGTGGGGTGTGACCCGTGACCCTAGCCTTCTTCGCCTTTTCCTGTCGAGCAGCAACGACAATAGAGGTCTTCTCGACAGGCGCCTGACCAGGGACACTGGCCAGCTCCACCACGTCAAGGCTCTCTGTCGCGTGTGCAGCGCGCTTCGACGACTTCGTCGCAGCTGGCTTCTTCTTCGACGTTGAAGGGGAGCCCGGATCGCTAAGGCAAACGTTGCCTAGGGACGGAGCAGCGGCGACAGGAGCAACTGGAGGGGTTGAGGAAGACGCCCGATTTCCCACAAGCCCGACAGCAAGGCCAGCACCACCGCCGTGCGCAGCTGATGCCGCTTTAGTCTTCGACAGCAACCCAGCGCTTGCTTCTCCCGCTCCTTTCCCCGCCGCCTGACGGGGTAGAGGCACCTCGCATTCCTAGGGCTCTGTTCCCGGTCGAGGCGACGTGCTCGTTCGGGGCACCACTTTTCTCCCCCGCGACCACTCCTTTCCCACCCGTTTTCCCCAGGCCTTGCAGCATGTCCCGCATCGAAGCAAACGCATTAGGTGGATCGATCGGAGCCGCTACGGAGGTCTTCGAGAGGGCTGACTGGTCGAGTACGATGACTTCGGGGATGGGCTTGGCGACGGGATGACGGCCACGCGCCGGTGGGGATCAAACCGGGCTGCCGACATGTCCTCCCACCGAAGAAGATGGAGGAACCGACCGCTCGTGACCTCGAGGCTCAGCCCCGCTGCAAACCCCTCCCACACCCTCCTGACGCGACCTCGTCGATGGGCCCGCCGAGCGCTGAAAACCTCTTGCCATCGCTTCGGTGAGAACTTCCAACCTCCCTGCTTCGGCTTCATGGTAGCCTTCCCTCACAATGTCCTTCAGCTCCTTCATGGTCTCGGGTGGGAGGGTGGAGCAAAACATGTCCTCCATGATGGCTTTCTCGAAACCTTTCAGCACCGCAGCAACTAGCCGCTCCTCGACCTGCTTGAGCTGCTTCTCGACGGCGTCCTCGCTCGCTTTTGTGATGGCGGCTGCCACCCCCTCGATGATCTTCCCGCTCATCTCGTCGATCTTCGCCCGCGCCCCTTCCAACAGGTTCCTCTCCGCCGTGACACCCTTCACAGCCTCGGCGCACTGCGACAGTGTGCTTTTCGACGACTCCGAAATCGTATTCCACGCCGTCCGAAAATCCGCAGCAAGCCTGTTGAATACTCCGGCTTGCTCAGTGTGTTTCGCAAATACATCGGCGACGAGCTGCTTCTGCGACGCCTCGACCTTCTCGACCCTTTGCAGTAGCTTGACGACCCGGCCTCCGGGTGCAACGTTCGCCGTCGATTGGCCTGCCGTCGAAGGCCACCCTGTCGAAGGGCCCGCCTGTGCCTGTCCGCTGCCACTGGCCGTGCGGTGACTCCTTGTTACGGCGGCCTGTCGCTCATCTCCTCGACGATACTCCTCAGCAGCCTCCCCGTCCTCCTGCTCCTGCCCTCCCGACCCACCCACCCGCGCAGCCGCAACCCTAAACTCCTGCTGCTGCACTCCTGCCCCACCCTCCTGCGCAGCCGCCACGCCCTCCTGCTGCTGCCCTCCTGCCCCGCCCTCCTGCGCAGCCGCCTCGCCCACCACCTGCTGCTGCCCTCCGACCCCACCCTCCTGCTCAGCCGCTCCGCCCTCCTGCTCCTCGACAGCCTTTGTTTCCCCTGTCGCCTGCTGCTCGATAAGCTCTACTCGCTCATCCACCCGCTCCCCGAGCGCCTCTCCATGCTCCCCCGTACGCTCCGTTCTATGTCCGGCGCCCTCGCCGTCGTCCTCGACCGACTCATCGCTCGAGCTCGAGCCGGAGCTCGATCCCGAGCTCGAGTCTTCGTCCTGGTTCGCATCACCACCCAGGCCACTCACCCCGTACTGAGCCTACCTCGATGTATCCTCCTCGATCTCCTCCTCCTCCTCGACGCTGTACTCAATCACGACACGTCCCGTCTTCTCGCCTCCTCCCTCGTGGTCGGCACCCCCTCCCACACCTGCTCCCTCCGCCAGCTGGTCGATCTTTCTCGAAAACAGCTTGACCATGAACAACGGAAGCACACCTGCGCCAGGGTTCGTTCTCCCTAGAGGCACGAGTTCGCCCTTTCGAGGCTGTAGGATGAAGTCGTCCCATTTCGACAGAATCCGGCGCACCCCATGCACGACACGAGCTGCCGCGCCATTTTCATAGGGGCTCGACAAGGCCATCGTCGTCTGCGACGGGTACAAAACATACGTAAGCGACAAAACAAATGCTCGACGAAAACGCTGGTGGTCTAAGGAGAGCTTACCAGATGGTCGAAATCCTCGTTCAACTCCAGACGAAGGTCCATCACGTTCAACACTTCTTGGTCGTCCTCGGTCAGAGCCTGGTGGGTCATCGCGTACTCGACGCGAAGCTGCTTCTTCATCCACCTGCGACGCAGCGGACAGAAGAGTAAGATTGTCGAGAACAGCAGCTCGACAGCAGGGTTGCAAAGCTATCACTCACACAAAAACTTATTGCACCAGAGAAGATTGGTGGTTCATATCGGGAAACTTGTCTTTCGAATCGAAGTGCATCATTCGAGTTCGACTGCCACAGTGCCTCGGAGCCAGCAGATCATCGGGGCGCGATACCACAAACAGGCTCGAGTGGGAGAACGGAGGCACACTCAGTCTGCATGCAGAGCCAATGCACGTGAGAACGGGTTCAGGGCTAAAGACGGAGCACGCAAGGCGACGGGAGAGTGTCGAACTCACGGTGTCCGCAGCAGAACGAAAACCACTTGCTTGCCGAGGAGGCCGTCGAGGTGGTTGTTCGCAAAAGCGACCGGGGTGGGACGGGCCATCTCTTCACGCGCACGCGCCGGAGTCACGATCGACACCTTGGGGAGCTGCTCGACTGAGAGCAGCTCATGACAGAACAGGCTGCACGGAAAGCTAAGTCAACGTCAGCGATAGGTAAACCGAAACATGGCAAACCGAAAATGATCGACAGGACACGTACACGACGCCCGCGACCATCATGCTCTCGTCGAGCTCCCCGTTCGGCGCCTCTCTAATCGCATTCAGCTGGTCCTCGTACAACTCCACCTCGACCCCGCCTGCACAAAGGATGAGGCCGCGTCGAACCGTTGCCTCGTTCATGACGGGTACGGAGGCGGGGCCCGTAGCCATGTCTGTTCTAGCAGTGGAGAGGGCGGACGCGCAGGGGAGTTGGGAACTAGCAGGGACTAGGAAGTAGGGAAGCAAAAATCGGAAACAGCAACAAAATGAGACCGGACGTAGGGTATTAGCTGTTTGCCATCCCTCCCACCGCGACGGACCAGGGGGTTCAAGGACGAGGAGGCAGGGCGCGTTCCGAGACGCGGGAGGAGGAGGGAGGAGCTCTTCGTGGAGGCCGGCGGGGCCCTATTGGCCTCGACGTGAAACCTGGTTGTTGGTAGCATGGGGTGGGCAGCCTTGCATGCAGCTGAAAGGCCCCTTCCAAGATTCGGGAGGGGGCCTTCGACACGGCGCCAAGATCGAGAACGAAACGGGCCCGTCTAGGGCGAGAGCGGTGGAGCGCGGCGCAGATGGGCGTCGCTTTCGTCTGGCCGGCGAAATTTCGCGGACTGGTTCCGTCGGCGATGCGTCGCTCGGCGAGGGATGGGTGGGTTACCGGACGGAACCCGTCCACGAACCGAGTGAGGGGTTGGGCTCGGTTGGGAGGGGGACCACTGCCAGCTCGAGGGCGCGGGCTGCTGGCGTCATCGCCAGCTGGGGGTGCCCGTTTTGGGGCAGGAGGGGGGGGGGGGTGGCTCCCGCCCCTCGCGTGCCCCGCTAGGCGACTGCGGGAAAACGAAAATCCCTCCGAGGAAAACCCGCAGGGGCGAACGGGTTTTCGCGGAGGGATTCGGGCGAGGTCTTCCCAACAATCAACAAAACTGTGGGAATCTCAGAATCAGCCTGTTCGAACCTAGGTCGTTTCACAAGCCTTATGATTTCCTGCGTTCCTGAAACGTAAGCTCGAACATCCTCTGCTGAGGTCGTTTTGTGTCCAGATCTCAAGGTTGCACCGTTTTTTCTCGTCGCGCAGAAAGGATAGCTAATTCTGCTTGTCTCTCTCGGGTTCATGGCGAATCAGAAGCAGCGTAGCTCTCTCTATTCAGCTGGTCACAGCGATGGTAAAGGTACTTTGCACAGCACTGCTGCCACTGGTACGAACCCAGCAATCGCCAAGGTACTATTCGCCAAGTATCTTTCGGGAAGGAGGACATTTTTGGGACAGATTTGGGAAACCTCTAAATCACTTGCGGGGAGGTCATTTTGGGGGGAAGGGTTTGGGACATCAACTTTTTGGTGATGTGGTAACAGTCCGACTCAAAGATTCTCTATCCTCACGGATTCAGGAATTTTGTGATACAGCTTTTCTGAAATTCCCCCAGCGGCGAAGCCAGTGAACGAAAACAAACAGTGCAGTTTCGGGCATTTGCGACTTCTCGCTCCCAGGAAACGCCCTCGTTTTTCTTCGCCCACCCAAACACACCTTCAGGAGATCGTCGCAGCGGCTCGTAACTTGCAACCAAGGATACAGTAATTCGACCAGTTCGATTCTGATTGCGCATTGGTTGCAAATCTCATAGCACGCTGCGATCTGACACATGAAACACAGGCGGGAGAAGAACAAGTTTTCGGGTTTCCTGAAAGGCTCCCTAGAAACACATCATATTCCACACTCAGTTCTTAGAATATAGATCTAATAAACGAGGCGCTAATGCATGCCTAACCCCCAACGCAGCAAGAGATTGGTTGTTAGAGCCCTTCGTAATCGAGCCCGCTGTTGGTGCGTCCAACATTCAAAGAAGTATCGTTCCGAGCCAGATTCCGAATTGGAACCATTCCAAACCATTCCAACAAACCCTGCACGTTGCGGAATCTGAGCCTAGCGGAACGCGGAGGGCGCACGGGAGGGGAGGGACGGGGGAAAAGGGGAGGGACGCGGGGGAAGGAGGGGGACGAGAGCGGATGGCGGACTTGCAATTGACGGGGATTGCGGCAGAGAAGGGGTCGATCACAGAAATAATGGAAATAGCGGCTAAGAGGCCTCGCATCGAGGGCCAAGACAGGAAATCGGAAGGAGCGGAGGGTCCCACACCTTCAACTAGAACGTTACCTGAAGTTTCTAAGAAAGACGAGGCTGCTGCCGCGGTAGCAGAGTCGGTCTACATTGCTGGGCGATACTTAAAGGTGCCGCTTTCAACCTGACCTCCTCCATTATGATTAATCACTATGATTTACCCACCTAAATTTCTTTTTATGATTAATCACTATGATTTGCTCGTCAGAAACAGACAACCAACCTCTTTCCTGCCACTCCATTACAGACCAGAAACTCCTTTATCTCCCCTCCCCTTCCTTCCCTTCGTCCAAAACGTGTCCGTCCCTCGTCCCTTGGTCCCAGTATCTAAACCCCTCTAAACCCCTTCACTAAACCCCGCTAAATCCTGCTCCCACCAAACCCCCTCTTTCAAAACCCCTCCTCTCTTTCCTTCTGAAATAAGATCCCCTTTCTCCAAACCCCTACTGAATCTTGGAGGTGTGTGGCATTTTTCTCACACCCTGAACCCATTCCTTTGAGAACCCCCCTATTGTTTCACCTTCATCATTCAAAACCCCTTTCCCCTCCCCCCCCTCCCAACTCCCCCCTCCTCCCCCCCTTGTCCCCCCTCGGGTTCTCCATCTCGGTGTGGGTGGCAGTTCTCCCGCGCGCTGAGCCAGTCCCCATGGACGGTGGATGATGAGCAGATGGGAGATGGCTCTGTCCAGGTGCTTATAACGGGGATGACTCTGTCCAGTTGCTTATAACGGGGATGGCCCTGTCCAGTTGCTTATACTGGGGATGGCACTGTGCAGGTGATTATAAGGGTGAAACAATAGCTCTTTGCAGGTGCTTAGCGATGGCTCCGTGCCAGTGCAGGTGCTTATTGCGGGGATGGCTCTGTGCAGGTGCTTCTAGCGGGATGACTCCGTGCGTGCAGGTGCGTATAGTGGGAATGGTTTCGTGCCGGTGCTTATAGCAGGAACAGCGCAGGTGCATATAGTGGGAGTGGTTCTGTGCCGGTGCTTATAGCGAGGATGGCTCTGTGCAGGTGCATATAGTGGGAATATTTCTGTGCTGGTTAGCCAGGATGACTGCTATTACGGGGATGGCTTCATGCCGCTGCTTATAGTGGGGATGGCTTCACGCAGGTGCTTATAATTCGGTTGGATCTGTGCAGTTGCTTATTACGGGAACTTATCATGGGTTATATTTCTTTGTGCACGTTTTCCAAAATGTGCAGGATCTAATAGCATCCCACCTGCTGCCTCTCCTCCAACCACTCTCGCACAAGTTCCAAGCCGCTGGGCGTGAGGACATTGATGTGAGTGAGTGTTAGTCACCAAAGGATGTATTTTCCCCACACATACTTTTCCGCTTGTTGCGACCGATTAGAGAGAGTGAGAATCATGAACTGATGTGGTTTCAAACGTGCGATTTTGCAATCCTTGAGTAACCTTTCGTACAAGAATGCAGTCGGCTACAATGCTAGGTGCTGAGGATCCACTCGGGATCATGCCAGAGAACGCTCGCATTGCAATCAAGAATTTGGGGGTGAGTGGAGGTATCAATTATACTGTTTTCTGTATGCATGCTAGGGGTGGTTATATGCTTTCATTTTCGCCATCTATTAGGTCCGTTAAAGCTCATCGGAACATTGCGTACTTCTTCTATCGTCTTCTTATTGTACTCTCTTCCATCTCGCACTCTTATGCCTCCTCAAGTCCATGTTATAAACGATGGTCACAATGTGTACTACCATTTCGTGTACCATGCCAGAATCATGCAGTACTCCACATTGATATTTTTTCATCGAATTCGTTAGCAATGATCACGAAGTCATGTTCTCGTTTCATTCCGAAGTCAGGGAAAAAATGTGCGGTGCGATTCACATCTATTCGCAAAAGCATGTAAAATAGATTCGCCGAGTTGATGTGAATAACATTGCAGACCTTTTCCTTGTCTTCGGTATGAAACGAGAACATGACTTTGTAATCATTGCAAACGAATTCGATTAATATCAATCAATGTGGTGGTATTGCGTGATTTCAGCATGTTGCACGAAATGGTAGTACGCATTGTGGTCAGCGTCTATAACATGGACCTGAGGCAGAAGAGTGCGGGATGGAAGGGGAGAAAGAGTGTACAGAGGGAAAATGATAGAAGAATTACACAATTTTCAGATGGGCTTAATCGGAATTGATAGATGGCGAAAATAAAAGCATTTAACCACCTCTAGCATGCATACAGAACACAGTAAAATTGGTACCTCCACTCACCCTCAAATTGTTGCAATGCGAGCGTTCTCTTGCATGATCCCGAGTGGATCCTCAGCACACCTAGTGTTGTAGCCGACTGCATTCTTGTACAGAAGATCACTCAACAATCACATGCAATTTCGGAGAATTGTTAATAATCGCTCCAAAAGACATCAGTGTTCGTGAATCTTGACACATGATTCGCTCAACGATCTCGTTGATTATCACTTAGGGAGCATCAGCCTGTGGTTGAGGAGGCCAGTCAGAGGTGCCAGGCAGGTGCGTCAACATTCCCCCAACCATTTTGTAACGAGGTGACTTTTGAGTCAACTCAAAAACCACCTCACTGACTCGCTCACCAATCTCACTGATTCTCACTCAGGGAGCAGCAGCCTGTGGCTGAGGAAGCCAGGTGGGTGCGCCAATACCCCCCAACCCTTTCCTCTTCCCCCCCTCAAACGCACAGGTACGCATGCTGGGTTCGGGGCGGCCGTTTCTGTTGGAGCTCAAAGGGGCGAGGCGAGTGCCTACGACTGAGGAGGATACAAGGGGAGAGCACTCTCGATTCCCGTCCCACTTCCCCATCCCCTCCCGCCCCCATCCGCTTCCCCCTCCCGTTCTTGTCCCCTCCCCCCTCCTTTCCACAGGTGCGCATGCTGGGTTCAGGGCGACCGTTTCTTCTGGAGCTCAAAGGGGCGAGGCGAGTGCCTACGGCTGAGGAGCTAGGGAGGATAGAGCTGGAGATAAACGAGCAGGAGAGGGGCAAGGTGAGTGATGGAGGTTGATTTAAGTGATGCTTGAGTTGATATATTAAGAGGGGCCACGCAGGTGCCTAGCGCTGAGGAGCTAGAGAGGTTAGAGAAGGAGATCAACGAGCAGGAGAGGGGCAAGGTGAGTGAGTGATGGAAGTTGACTGTTGAGTGACTGTGAAACAGTCTTTACACGTGTGAAACACTTTCCATGCCCTTACCGCCCATCTCTCTATCGCCCATCCCTCTACCGCCCATTCTCTTAGGTGGGCGTGTGTCAACTGCAGCTGGAAGATTCACGCGTGCGCGCTGATGCGGCAGGAGGGGGCAGAGAGGCCTTTTGAGGTTTCAGGCGAATCACATTTCATGCCCTCCTACTTCCCATCTCTGTACCGCGCATCCCCCTAGGTGGGCGTGTGTCAGCTGCAGTTGGCAGATTCACGTGTGTGCGCGCTGATGCGACAGGGGGAGGCAAGGACGGCAGTTGAGGCTTCACACAAACCAAATTCCATGCCCTTACCACCCGACCATCTGTCTCCCATCCGTCTACCGCTCATCCCCCTAGGTGGGCGTGTGTCAGCTACAGTTGGCAGATTCACGTGTGTGCGCGTTGATGCGGCAGGGGGAGGCGGAGAAGCAGGTGAGTGGGCGAGGAATGAATGTGGGCGGGTTGTTGGGGGGACAAGAGAAGGAAAGAGAGGGGACGCTGTGCATGAAAGTGGGGGTAATGCGCCAGTTAGGACTTCATCGTGAAGTGGATGGGATGACCGTTGATCCACAGTGTGGGTTATGGGGCTGGATGCATAAATATGGAAGCATGTGTGTGTGTGGGGGGGGTGTGGATGGGTTGTGTGTGACAAGTGATTTTCACCATTCTTCCTTATTAGCACCTGCTAAATATTGTTGTCTTTATGATGCAACTTACACTGCAGAAATCCTACGTGGCAGTGGTGTGGATCTCTCGACCAATCACACAAGCTGACGTGGCAAAACTGGAGAGCATAAAAGACCTGGTAGGTGCAATTTGCAGCTCCCGCCCTTCTGCTTTGTTGCTGCATTTCAAAGTAGACGCGCACTTTTCTTTTTTATTGATTGAAATTCTTGGATTTCCCTTTTCCTGGTTTCAGTTTTCCCTTCCATGGCGCAATCTGCAATAGCGCAGCGCAAGCATATGAAAGAACCAAAGCCTAAACGTTGTTAGCCAATCCAATGTTGGAAGGAGGCACACTGTTTAATTTCTCTTCTCTCGTTTTCTTTTCCTTCACCTGAATGCATCTCTTTCTTTATCTCTCATCCCAGCAGGAGCTGCAGCAAAAGACCCCCATACGAGTGTTACACAGACGAAGCCCTCTCACTCGCCCTCGAACCATCTACAGGTGATAGAGCAGTGCAGAATGCGCATGATTCCTCCCATCACTCACCTTCTCTCCCTTCACCACAGCAGTTTGTGGTGCCATTTTATTTCACTTTCCCCACCCGCCTTCCTTCCCTGCCTAATTGCTACGTCTCGGAGTATGACTCCTCACAACTTTCCCCTTCCGCAATTTCCCCCCCTTTCCTCCCTTCACCACTGCAGCATGCAGTGCCATTTGGTGCCGTCAAACCCACATGTGTTCCTCCTCCACCTCACCACTCAGGCAAGTCATACAGTGTGGTGCCACATGGTGCTGCATGGTGCCACACGATGCCCTATGGTGTTACGTGGTGCCATGAGGTGTCATCTGGTGCCATCGAACCCGCACGTGTCCCTACTCCATCTCACCATTCAGGCAAGTCATACAGTGCGGTGCCACATGGTGCCACATGGTGCCATCAGGTGCCGTCAAGCCACATGAGTTCCTCCGCCACCTTGCCACTCTTGGGTAGGTCTAGCTGGCTTGGCATATAGATTCCCAATCAAAGAACAATACCCGAGCCATACAATCCCCAACTAACATATGCACAGTCCACCACACACTAGTAATCTTCATCTCTTACCCGTGCCTCTTCCTTCTCCTCCTCCTTCTGCTGCTATGGCTGCTTCTGTGTATGTGTGTGGCAGGCGGGAACCTATGTAAAGGAGTTTGTGCATGGTGATTTCGGCCGGACACAGCCCAAGTAAAGAGCCCCCCTTACCTGTACTCTCTTGCCTGCTCAAGGTCTTACACTCTTGTGTCTGCTCCTGTTCATTCATGTGTCATCGTTTGTTCTTACACTCTTGCATTCCATTTCATGGCCATTCCCTGATATGCTGCCCCCATTCCCTGATATGCTGCACCCATTCCCTGATATGCTGCCCCCATTCCCTGATATGCTGCCCCCATTCCCTGATATGCTGCCCCCATTCCCTGATATGCTGCCCCCATTCCCCTGCCTTTGTGCGCTCTCTCCCACTTCACCCCTTGCCTGCTGCACAGCATCGGGTCACTGCTGGGCTGTGAAGCTGATATTATCCAGCTCGACGTGGTAGATGTGAAAATGGATTTCCTCTTGTAACTGTACCATACCATATCTAATTTTGTTACTGTGGCTGAGGAGAACATAGCTTTGATAAGAATCAATCAGAGTTTGCAATGAGTGAATTCAATGCACCAACCTTTGCTATATGACCAAGGATCCATGGCACAACAAAACTACTTCAGAGTCGAACCCTACTTTAGGGTCGAACCAAAAGGTCTCTTAAAATCAATGCCACTCCACTACTGGCCTTGGTGTGTCCTTTGCACGTGCTCTCTCCACCACTGCATCGCAAGCAGCACAAAGAAAACAAAGGGCAGACGCAAGCCCCATTCAATGATATACCAGCACCTGGCATACGGTGACTTTTGGGTCGACTCAAAAGTCACAATGGACAGACGCAAGCCCCATTCAATTATATACCAGCACCTGGCATGCGTGGCGTGGCGTACCTACCTACCTAGCCCGGTGTGACAGACGTCTCAAGACATTTGGATTACCGTGGTCACTAGTCGGCCAACTGAGCTTGCTGCAACCGTATCTACCCACCTTTTCATTTGACAAGTGGCACACATGGCGCCATGCCACATCCCAGCAGCCTTCCCTCCTCTTTCTCAGCCTTCCCTCCTCTTTCTCATGGGACTCGCCTTTCTCCACACACTAACCACTTGATCTGAGTACAACAAAATATACTACGACATGCTAATACGGTAGGTGTGGGCTTACAAGCATTGCATCAGCACCCTACTCTCATCTCTCGCATGGGAATATTATTCGAGGCGCCTCAGAAGCGATCTTTGAGGCGCCTCAGAAGCGATCTTTGAGGCGCCTCAGAAGCGGTTCTTTAGGCGCCTCAACGGTGGGGTTGCAACCATTGCATCAGCAGCACCCTACTCTCATCTTTCGCATGGGAATATTATTCGAGGCGCCTCAGAAGCGGTTCTTTAGGCGCCTCAACGGTGGGGTTGCAACCATTGCATCAGCAGCACCCTACTCTCATCTTTCGCATGGGAATATTATTCGAGGCGCCTCAGAAGCGGTTCTTTAGGCTCCTCAACGGTGGGGTTGCAACCATTGCATCAGCACCCTCCTCTCATCATCATTCACGTGGGAATCCCGTGGCCTGTAAGAGATCATTTGTATTCAACCACTCACCCGTGTGCTGCAACAAGGCATTGCGTGTCTTTTGAGGCGCCTCAAAAGCAGACGAGAGTGTTGAAGGTGAGGGACGTGTTGTTGATGCTGGGAGCATGGCACTGGCTGGCCTGCGACTTTTGAGGCACCTCAAAAGTCATTCACGTGGGAATCCCCGTGGTCTGTAAGAGGTCATTTGTATTCAACCACTCACCCTGTGTGCAGCAACAAGGTATTGCGTGTCAAGGGGATGGGTGCGCACGTATTCCATTCTGTCCGCTTCCTCTCGCCCCCGGGACCACCAGGTTATGTTGTCATGCTCCTTCATTATGAGGGTGCACTCCTTGATGCCCTGCCTGATTATGCCCTGGAGGAAAGTCAACAGAGGTCAACGAGAGTCAACACTATGACATCCTCCGTTATGTTGTCGTGCTCCTTCATTATCAGCGTGCACTCCTTGATGCCCTGCTTGATTATCCCCTGAGAAACAGGTCAACAGAGGTCAATGGAAATCCAGTCAACAGAGTCCAGTCAACAGGATTCAACAAGAGTCAACAGAGGTCAATGAGGGGTCAATTATTTCTGGGATCCTTGGTATGCTGTCATGCTCCTTCACTATCAGCGTGCTCTCCTTGATGCCCTGCTTGATTATGACCCGAGGTACAAGCCAACAGAGGTCAATGAGAGTCAACAGAGGTCAATGAGAGTCAACAGAGGTCAACGACTGTCAACAGAGGCCAATGAGAGTCAACAGAGGTCAACGCGAGTCAACAGAGGTCAGTTACACCCAAGGAAACTCTTCACCTATCTGGCAGTTATGTGCCTGTTTGGGGCGGTCAGTGGGCAGCCAGTCGTTGATCAAGAGGTTGCAACATGAACGCAGAGACATCACAGAGCACTCACGTGGAAGTGGTGGTGCCTGCCTGAGTGAGTGTGTCTGCGGGCAGGAATCCACTGGTCAAGGGGTTGCCACTTGAATGCAAAGCGAAGACATTTCAGAGCACTCACGTGGAAGCGGTGGTGCCTAAGAAGGTCCATAGACAGGTCTACACCTCCTTGTGGTGGGTCCCTGAACCACGTGTGCTTTGGGTCGACTCGGAACACAAAGCTGCCACAAAAGAGCACTCACATGGAAGTGGTGGTGCCTGAGAAGGTCTGTAGACAGATCTGCGCCCCCTTTAGCGGGATCCCGAACGCCGTGGTTCATCACAGCTCGCACCTGTGATGAAGAAACAGGAGGGAAGGACAAGGGGACCACAGGGCGATAGAACTTAAAGGTTTGCCGCCGCCAATAGTGGGTTCCTGAACCACGTGGTTCATCACTGCTCGCACCTGTGAAGCAGGAGGGGGAGAGAGGAGGGATCAAAGGTCAAGGCGTCTGAATGGTAACAAAGACGGTCTGCACCCCCTTTAGCAGCATCCCGAACCCCGTGGTTCATCACTGCTCACACCTGTGATGCAAGAAGTGGAGAAGGAGAGGGACCACAGGGTGTTCAGGATTAATATAAGGTGCCTCTTTTGCCCTCTCTGGGTTCCTGAACAAGAGCGTTAATCACTGCTCGCACATGTGCAGCAGCATGGGAGGAGCAGGGGGGCGACAGGTCGATTAGGGATTTTGGGAAGTTAGAGAGAAAACGAGCAAGTTTTCTGGGGTCCAGAAAAGGTTTGCGGTGGCCATAGTGGTTGAGGCACACGGTCGGCTTAGTGTGGTTGTCCATAGCTCTGCAGAAGACTATATGCTAGGCTCTTCCGAAATAAGCACAAATTTGGGGCCTTAAAAAGAAGGCAAGCCCACCCGTCTGGGGTCCACAAAGAGCTTGCGGTGGCCGTAGTGGTGCAGGCACACGGTGGGGTTGGTGTTGTTGTCCTTGGCTTTACAGTAGATCCCCGGCCCGTGCCATAGCATTCGCTCCAGCGGCCACCTGGGGTCTTCCGAATGGAATGGAAAAGAAGAAAGATGACGAGAGGACGGGAGCAGAGGAGAGACGGACGGACTAAGGGTTTGGTGGTGCAGCAGCATGGAGTGGTACAGCACGCCATGATGGAGCAAGTTAGCAGGCGGAAGAGAGATTGCCAGAGCCTAATTTTGAGTCGACTCAAAAGTAGGCTCATCACACACGGTGCAGCAGCACGGAGTGGTAGAGCAGACAATGATGGAGCAAGTTAGCAGGGACCCATACAGGGCAATCGATGTTTTAAGGAAATGCTGTCATGAGCAAGAAAATGCCGGCTATGGGATTCGAACTGGTGACCTTTGATGCGTCCCGAAGGTGTGTTTTGGGACAGATTTGGGACAAGATCCGCGAAGACGTCGTTTATGGCAAGGCAGGGTCTTGGGAAGGCAGCACGGAGTGGTAGAGCAGGCAATGATGGAGCAAGTTAGCAGGCGGAAGAGAGATTGCCAGAGCAGCGTCCCAACAGCCACTTGGGCCTGCTAGTGGAATGGAAGAGCGGAGGATATGCATAGAGGACGGGGGCACACGCCCAACCAGAACCCGTATTGCCCACACCAGAATACACAACCAGGCAAGAGCACGTACCATCGGGGCTGCTGGGACCCATACAGGGCAATCGATGTTTTAAGGAAATGCTGTCATGAGCAAGAAAATGCCGGCTATGGGATTCGAACTGGTGACCTTTGATGCGTCCCGAAGGTGTGTTTTGGGACAGATTTGGGACAAGATCCGCGAAGACGTCGTTTATGGCAAGGCAGGGTCTTGGGAAGGCAAGGCAGGATAGCACATACATTCTCAGCAGGGCAGCACATTCATCTCGGGAGGGTAGGGATGAGCACCGGGCGAACATCGAACATGTTCGTCTGAACTGTGACGAACACACTCAGTGGGCGAACCGAACATGTTCGGTTCGCCCGAACACTTTTTACTGAAATCTTATTTTCGAGGTTCGCCCACTGTGGGCGAACCTACTAAAGGGGGCCGAACATCAGAGATCTGCTTTTGAGTCGACTCAAAAGAAGGGGGCCGAACATCAGAGATGTTCGGGCGAACCCGAACATGTTCGGTTCGCCCACTGCAGGAAGGGGGGGGGGGGGGGGGGGGACCTGCTTCTGTTTTAGGGGTTATGAGCTCCCAGTGGGAAATTGGATGCTCATTACTTTACAGGTCCCACCCCTTGTACCCACCCTTAAACCATGGAACGGGTGTTTCAGAGCCGTGAATAGGAGCACTGACAACAAGGCATAGCTTAACTTAAACCGAAACCTGCTGGTACAACCCTAAATAACGGCCTTAACACCCCATTGGTGCCTAACTAACAGTTGATGTGGGTGATTTAGTATAGGAAGGTACGTTGGGTGGCGCTTAGGCTAGATCAACCCTAGGAAAAGTAGATCGAGCTGAGAAACAGCTCGATCTGCTCTTCCCGTCCTTTTCGTATCCAACCGGCGCGACCTTGTCGAGCTGGAATTATCCCGAACATCAAAATGTTCGGGAGAACAGGTTTGATGCACGAACATGTTTGATGCACGAACATGTTTGATGCACGAACATGTTTGATGCACGAACATGTTTGATGTTCGGGCACCAGACACGCGCGCGCCACGAACGCGCGAACATGTTCGGACCGAACCCGAACATGTTCGGGCGAACATTTAAACAAAAAAATGGAGGAAAGTTCGGTTCGCCCCCGAACATGTTCGGGCGAACCGAACGCATGTTCGCCATTTTGCTCATCCCTACGGGAGGGAAGCACAAAAATCTTCAAGAGGGAAGCACACGCATCAGTCAAGAGGACATACCGTCAGGGCCTTGGGAGGGCAGGCAGCGATCCAAGTCCCACCAGAGGCTGCCGTGAGTGACGTAGGGCATTCCCTCGTAGGGCATGAGGAAGTGATTCACGCTGAGAGGCGTGGGCATGCGCTCCTGAAGGAGTAATAGGGGGGTAGGAATGATGGAAATAACATCAGAGGGACGCCCTCACCAGGCATGCCTTTGTAGGGCATGAGGGAGTGGTGCACACTGAGCGGCGTGGGCATACGCTCTGGAGGAATGGGAAGATGGGATTCATGATAGGGCAGGCATGCCCTCACAACGTATCCCCTTGTAAAGTCCGCAAAGGGCATGAGGGAGTGGTGCACGCTGAGCGGCGTGGGCATACGCTCCTGAAGGAGGAATGGGGGGATATGATTCATGATAGGGCAGGCATGCCCTCACAAGGTATTCCCCTCGTAGGGCCGCAAAGGGCATGCCCTCATAGGGAACGCCCTTGCAAGGCATGAGGAAGTGGTGAATGCTGAGAGAGAGGCGTGGGCATGCGCTCCTGGAAGAGCCACATCGCGAAGGAGAAAGGTGGTGAGGGGAGAGAGGGGGACATGAGATGGGGGAATGAACTCTGGGCATGAGTAAGGAAGTGTATGCGCGCTGAGAGGCGTGGGATTGCCAAAGAGCCACATAAAAGAAGGGTGCGTGAGGGGAGAGAGGGGGACATGAGAAGGGGGACATGAGAAAGGGGATACGAGAAGGGGGAAACAACTTTGGGCATGAGTAAGGCGGTGTATGCGCGCTGAGAGGCGTGGGATTGCTAAAGAGCCACATAAAAGAAGGGTGCGTGACGTGAGAAGGAGGAGAGGGGGTGAACAGGAACGCAGGCATTATGTGCATGCAGTCCTAGCGGTAGATGAAGACACAGAAGTGGAAGTTGAGAGAAAGTGAAGGAGGAGCCTATTTTTGAGTCAACTAAAAAATAGGTATTATGTGCGTGCAGTCCTAGTGGTAGATGAAGATGCAGAAATGGAAGTTGAGAAGAAGGGGAAGGACGAGTGCATACATTTTTTAGGCGCCTCATAAGGAGAAGTGCATACATTTTTTAGGCGCCTCAAAAGGAGGAGTGCATACATGGCCACGAATGAATGAAACGAACCTCGTTAAAGCCAAAGAGAGGGACGAAAAGAGCGTGTGCTTGCTTGCGTGCATACCCAACCCGGCCATCAACAAAGATGAACTCGTCTAAGTCAAGGTGTAGATGCAGGCGGCCTCTTGGAGAACATTGAGGTGGTTTTCCAGCCGCCTAAAAAAATGTCGAAGTCAAGGTGTGAATGTAGGCTTCTTGGAGAACAAGGAGTCGAGTCGGTGCAACAGACCTTGCAGGCTTACTCGTCCACCAATAGCAATGAGGTGGTCTAAATCAAGGAGAAAAGGGAGAGTTTCAGCGACACGTGCGTGCTTACTTGGCGGGGCCTCTGAACAGCTGAGCAGTGAGCATTTCTAAAAATGAGCTCGTCTAAGTCAAAGAGAAAAAGGAGAGTGAGCACATGTGTGCTTGCTTGGCGGCTTGACTGCCGACAAAGTCCATATGCATACTTTCTTGGCCATAAACGAAAATGAAATCGCTGAATAATGGAATATTCGAAGTCAAGGTGCATGATCCACTTGGAGAAAGGGGGGTGAGTTGAGTGCGACCCTGCGTGCTTACCTGGCCATTGATGAAGATGAATTGTGGCCATCAAGGAGAAGAAGACGAAGTAGGAATGGGTACTTCATGATTCTTACCTGACCATTGATGAACATGAACTCGTCAAAGTCAAGGTACATGATCCACTTTGAGAGGTGGCGGAAGCGATACACACAGTCGTTTACCATCATCACCTGGTGGTGGGAAGAGGGGGGCGTGGAGAAGAGAAGAGAGGGAAGGGAATGTAGGTAAGGGGAGAGGACGGGCCTCTTAACAGCGGATTATTTTTAAACAGCCCCCTCGATTGCCGGTGATACTAGGACTAATAGTTCACCAGATGACGAATTTTGAGTCAACTGCGAAGAGGCCCCTCACCTGACCGTGGTACCACGTATTTTCACCACAGCACAACAATTAGTCCTGGACATGAAGAAGAGTGACAGTAGGAGGGGATGTCCTGAGAAAAAGACAATAGTCCTTCTAGAAAACTTGTAACCCTTAAATCGAGAAAAAACCAAAAGTAAAAGCTCATAATCAACCCTATTGACTAAGCAAACATGTTTCGGTCCGTACGCACGCGGATCATACCCGTCGTCAGGCCTTCATCAGTGCACGGCAAAACAGTTGGTGATTCTCGATGAGAACTCTTAACAGGTCCCTCACCTTGTTGTCGTACCAGGAATTTTCACCAACGCACAACAATCGGTGATTTCCGTTGAGAATCCCCTCACATGGACGTGGTAGCAGGAATTTTCACCAACGAACAACAATTGGCGATTTTTTTATGAGAATTCGGAACAGGTCCCTCACCTGGCCGTCGTACCAGACCTCGTAGTTCAGCAAGTCGCGAAAATCCGTGATCTCCACTATCCCTTCGTCCAGTAACGGCTGCAGGCGAGAAGTGAGGAGACTCGGGAGAGAGTGGGCATGAGAAGTTCAAGTTTTGCTGTTGATGTTGATGTTTAGAGTAAAGTTTTTTTTTGGGGGGGGGGGAACGGAAGGGAGCGAGATGCTGTTGAGGATAATACATGGGAAGAATCAGAAGGCTGAACTACGCGAAACACGAGACGCTGGACTGGAATGAAGGGATGACATCACCCTCCGTGCTAACAGCATAAGAAGTTGACGTAACAAGATGGTATCATCATGTGATGGCCAGCTTAGTCTCTCACACACATTCTCCTTGTGTGCAGGGCAGGATCACGTTCATATGGTAGGCATGGAGAAGAGGAGGACTGGTCCACTTCTTTTTGTTTTAGCAGAGGAAAGGAAGTGAGGGAGTGAGTAGTGTTACATGCTCACCGCAATCAGCGTTCGCAGTTGCGGGTCCACCCCGCCCACATCGTTCAGGGAGAAATGGTCCACTCCCATGCGGATGTGAAGATCCATCCATTGGTAGATGCGATATGAGATGACCTGCAAAGGGTTCATGGGATCATGCAAGGGGGAGACTTTAGAGTTAACACAAACGGCATCCATCCATCCACCGGAAGACGCGCTCTGAGATGACCTGGACAGAGTGCGTGGGATCATTGAAGGAATGTGAGTTTTGATTCAACTGAAAAGTCATCCATCCATCCACTTGTAGACACGCTTAATAACCTGCAGTGGATTCATGGGATCATGCACGGAGGTGACTTTTTTTTCTAGTCGACTCAATAATCGACTCATCGCACGGAGGTGACTTTTGAGTCGACGCAAATGCCATCCCTCCTCTACTGGTCGACGCGCTCAGAGACAGCCTTTATGCATGCAACATTTCCGTGCCCCAAAACGCATGACATGATCGTACTATATTCAAGATAGGCAGGGTTACACAAGACAGCGGCAAGAGAATGGCAAGAGAACGACAAGAAAACGACAAAAGAGGGACGAGATTATGGCAACAGTAGGATGGAAGGAGTGTAGAGGAGGAGAGAAGTGCTTATAACAGCAACGCATGATGCTGTATGAGGAACGGGGCACTGAAGTCAGAGCGTACCTCGTTGAGGGGGTGTGGGAAGAGGGAAGAGAGAGGGGAAGGGGGAAGAGGAATGGGTTGCGTTGTGAGGGAAGAACTGACCTGACTATGATTCTATGAATGAGGGGAGATGACACCAGTTAGGTGCCATTGAGTTCGATACGTGGCAGCAACTAAGTGACTTTTGAGTCGACTCAAAAGAAGGAAGAGGGAGGGGAAGGGGGAAGAGGAATGGGTTGCATTGTGAGGGAAGAACCGACCTGACTATGAATGGGGGGAGAGCAGTGCATGATGTTGTAGAGGAACAGGGTGTGGAAGGGAGAGCTTGTTTTTGAGTCGACTCAAAAACCGACTCACTACACGCGGATTCTATGAATGAGGGGAGAGCAGTGCGTGATGTCGTAGAGGAACAAGGTGTAGAAGGGAGAGCTTGCCTTGTTGGGGGGGCGGGAGATGGGGGCTGGGTTGCCTTGTTGGGGGGGCGGGAGATGGGGGCTGGGTTGCCTTGTTGGGGGGGCGGGAGATGGGGGCTGGGTTGCCTTGTGATGGAGGAAGGGACATACCTGGCCGTGGATGGGGGGAGAGCAGTGCGTGATGTTGTAGAGGAACGGGGCATGCGTCATGGCAGTTACCACCTCCCCCGGTTGCTCCTCATACACCACCTTGTCCTCCCCCTCCATGCCCATGTGCACCCTGCCTCCCCCTCCCACGAGCGTTTCCCTGCAGTGTGCCACACAAAAAATGGGATATATGGGGGATGGCACACCGGGCACAGTAAACACCACCTTGTCCTCCCTCTCCATGCCCATGTGCACCCTACCTCCCCCCCCGGCCCGCCCCATACAGGCCCTGCCTCAAGGTATGGGATGCAACATGGGACATGAGGGATGGAACATGGGACATGGGACATGGCGCGTGGGACACGGGACATGGATATGGGACATAACATGGAATATGGGACATAACATGGAATATGGGACTTAACATGGAATATGGGACATAACATGGAATATGGGACATAACATGGAATATGGAACATGGGACATGTCACTTGGGGCAAGGGCTTGGGGCATGGGACACAGGGCATGGGACACAGGGCATGGGACACAGGGCATGGGACACAGGGCATGGGACACAAGAGTCTGGGAGGCTGAGAGACAGAGAGTCTGAAAGGCTGGGAGAATGAGAGACCAATACACCATGAGAGCCTGAGAGGCCCCTGTGACACTCTCACACTCTCATCATATAACACACACACACACACACACACACACACAAGCACACACACACACACACACACACACACACACATACACACACACATACACACACACAAAGACACAGACACAGACACACACAAACACACACACACACACTCACACACTCACACACACACACACACACACACACACACACACACACACCTATTTAGAGTGCAGATTAAAATGAGCACAGCGTATTTCATCAAATGGTGCTCTCCCACGTGTATCACCTCCACACTGCCACGTATCCACTCCCTCCCATCCACCTCTTGCAGCTTCCTCGCCCCCCTACCCTCCTCCCTCCTCTCCTCAACCGTCTCGTCCCCCCTCCTCTCCTCAACCGTCTCGTCCCCCCTCCTCTCCTCAACCGTCTCGTCCCCCCTCCTCTCCTCAACCTTCTCGTCCTCCCTCCTTTCCCCCATCGTCAGTACTGAACCCATCCCACGCTTCTTCGTTCCTCCTATATGCCTCTCCATCCATTCTCCTCCCACGCGCTCCTCCATCAGTCTTTTCCACCTCCCCTCTAATGCAGCACCTCTTCGTTCAACTGCTTGCCCCGGACCCGCTGCTTCACCTTGTTTTTTAGTTGACTCAAAAAGACCTCTTCGCTCATCTGCTAGCCCCGGACCCGCTGCTTCCCCTTGCCCCAATGACCGGCCAAGTCCATCTGCTTGGCCTCGCCCTTCTGATCGATTCGCTTGATTTCCTTGACCTGCTTGACTTGCTTGATTTCCTTGACTTGCTTGATTTCCTTGACTTGCTTGACCTGCTTGACCTGCTTGACTTGCTTCACCTGCTTGACCCGCTGGTATCCGTGGTTCCCACATACAATCGCCCACCTTCACAGAAAACAATACAGCAGCACTTGTATGTAAGGAAATTTGAGGCGCCTTATAAGAACGCAACACAGCAGCACTCGTAGGCAGGGGCATGGCAGTAATGACACATCAGCATGTATGTAGGTCAGCATGTGTGCATCATGTGAGAAAATCACCAGCATGCATGCATTGCCACACCACAGGAGACAGCACACCATGCATGGACCGCGCGCGCGCGCGCACACACACACACACACACACGCACGCACGCTACGTTGCATCATATCCAACACCATGCTAACCCCTCCCCTCCTCTCTCCTCCCTCTCACTTCGTCAAAAGCACACGCAGCTTGAAACATGACCTTTGAGGCGCCTCAAAACTAGTTTGGGGTCTCAAACGGTGGCTTTAAACTCCTCCCTCGCCCTTTTTTCACCCTCACCTCTCTCACATCTTCCAGAGCACGTGCAGCCAGGCCCACGACCGCAAACTGGTCGCCTGCGATTCGATAAGCCGAGAACTGCACAAACGGCAGCAGCCTCTCTTGCCTCGTGCTGCTGCTGCCACTGCTGCTACCACTGCTGCCACTGCTCGTGCCACCACTGATGTTGCTGCCACTGCTCATGCCACCACTGATGTTGCTGCCACTGCTCGTGCCACCACTGATGTTGCTGCCACTGCTCGTGCCACCACTGATGTTGCTGCCACTGCTCGTGCCGCCACTGATGTTGCTGCTGCCACTGCTCGTGCCACCACTGATGTTGCTGCCACTGCTCGTGCCACCGCTGATGTTGCTGCCACTGCTCGTGCCACCACTGATGTTGCTGCCATTGCTCGTGCCACCACTGATGTTGCTGCTGCCACTGCTCGTGCCGCCACTGATGTTGCTGCCACTGCTCGTGCCGCCACTGATGTTGCTGCCACTGCTCGTGCCACCACTGATGTTGCTGCCATTGCTCGTGCCACCACTGATGTTGCTGCTGCCACTGCTCGTGCCGCCACTGATGTTGCTGGCAGCGGCTGCAGTGTTTACTGCTACTGGCGGTGATGGTAGTGAACTAGAGAGAGCAGTGGACTGAAGGTGGCGCAGTGGCAACGGGTGGCCAGGACCAGGTGGGAGGGAATGACGCGCAAGGAACACAACGGGAGCTATGTTTGATGTGAGGCTAATCAAAACGCTTCGCACGCAATGCAAAGCCATTCACAAATGTTGAGTGGGACTAACGCACAAGCAGTGTGGAGGAACGAACGAAGCACAATAGGTTGTTAGACTGGGACAGATGGTAGGGTGGACGTCAGAAGCACGGGCAGGGCAGGATGCAGCAGAAACAGAAAGAAGAGGCATGCGTTGCAGGCAGTGAGTTAGTGATGGGAGCAGCAGGGTGAGCGAGGGCGGTATGCTGTGTACGAGGCTATTGAGTCGACTCAAAGGAGCAGCAGGGTGAGGGAGGGCGGTGTGCGTGCTGTGTGGCTAAAGGAAGAAGAACCTTGGGACCGGAACTGCTGCACAAAAAAACCTTCTAAGGTCGGGTCAAGAGGGGGGGGGAGGTGGGGGGGGGGGGGGGGGGGGGGGGGGGGGCAGTTCCGGCCAGGTTACTCCACTCTAAAGTGGCCGGGGGGTTGGGGTGGTGTATACATGGTCGGGGGAGCGAGCCAGGTGAAGCCTGGTTCACCTGCCGTAAAGAAGACCCTTCGATAGAAATTGTGCTGGCTTACTGAGAACTGCGGAGGAACGGAGGAGGCAGAGGCAGTGGCTTGAATAATCGCCTGCTCCTCATTGGTCGGGAAGATTGAGGTGTCAAAGGAGAGAATGAGCACCTGGTCACTCGCGCAGGCACACAACAAACAACGTGTATAGGGGGAAGCACGGTGGCAGACAAAACTATCGGAATGGGCAGGTGAGGCTGTGAAGTTGCTGAATTTGGAGTTAGGACACATGTAGGGAGGAGGGAGAGCCAGAAGGGAGGGATTAGGCCGTGGTGGAGTAAAAGGTGGGAGTAGAGTAGTGATGTTATGTTAGGAAGGGTTGAAGATCCAACCTTGGAGTGAGCGGATCACCAATGAGGCAACAAAAGCAGGTAACGATTGGGAGAGACAGCAAAACTTGGTTTGTTTCTCTGTAGCAGCTGACGAGAAACCTGTCGAAACCCCTTGCTAGACAGGGGTGAAAAATATGTGCATGCAAGTAAGATCATACCATTTCGCTAGCAGAACGTGGCACCTTAAAGCACTCATACATACCAGCAGCAGGACGAAAACAACAAGGATGATGGACGGTGTTGGGCCTTTAAATAGCTGCGGCAAGGTACAGTACAGTACAGGCCATGGAAGCATTAAAGTAGTCCACTGTTCTTCTTGACTAATCGAAGGGCAGCAGTACGTGAAGGTGACGTTTGAGCAACATGATCAATAGTGGAAAATCAGTTGTAAACAATAGTGTGAAATATCAAGTGTGAAAACACATAAGTTGTCCACTGCTCTGGCTTCTAGCCTGCTGATTAGGAATGGGCCGAATGGGTTATTTCCTGTCCCATCAATCCTTTCCTATATTTTCTTGAAATCTGCAAATAGCATCGCACTGAACAATGTTACTGACTTTGAAAACAGCAATGAAAGGCACGTGGGAACGATAAGGGAACACCTCATAGCATAAACTGGTTGAGGAGGTGAGAGTTCGAGGGAGAGAGGGGCACAACGTGGCGTAAAATGGTTGAGGAGATGAGTGTGAGAGGGAGAGAGGGAGAGAGGGAGCACCTCGTGGCGTTGGATGAGTGAGTGACACCTCTTGATGATGAGTGCTGATGCTGACGTCAGCAGCCCACGCCATCCATCGGCAGGGTTACCATCAGCAGCGTTATTAGTAGGGTCCAGGTGCGTATAAGGCTGAAAGTCGTTACTATTTTGATGGTCCTGACCGCGGCTGGGCCGAAGCTCTTCAAGAGCATGCGGATGTGTGGATTGCAATCCCTCTCTTTTAGACGCTGAAGATGATAATTCTGTTTGCATTTGAGTCGACTCAAAAGCTGAAGATGATTCTGAATTTCTGCCAGGAGACGCACTGGTTATGCCAGGAGTAATGCTGTTCACTCTGGTCCCTCTGTGAGCAGGGGAAACTCTTCTGTACCCTCTGCCATAACCCAAACTGAGCTTCCCTCTGCCATTATCTCTCTCGCTATCCCTCTCCATCTCAAGTCCTGCCATTAGTGAAACCTTGCATTCACCGCCATGATATTGCGGTTAGACAGTTGAGAAGCACCTCAGTAGAAGTGGTCTCAGATAGTATCCCGTTTTAAGGTCGCTCTGTTAATATTAGAACACAGCGTCGCTTTCGTAAGATTAGGTCATCTCGTTGCAGGTGGGAAATGCGTGACGGGAACAGGGAGTCGGTTTCAAGCTCATATGCATTGTTTCAGTTCGATCTCCAGGGTTTAGATGCGGTAAGAGGTATAAATGACTCTAAAAGGCAAGGCGCGTCTCTCCAGTTTAGGGCGTTGACTAAACCGATCCGTGTACGAAAGCGGTCCTCGTCGATAAGGGCGTGCTACATTTTATAAAAGCGGCTAAAATCCGGACAACCGTCCGAGAACGGTTCAGATTCTGAATCTCGGGCAGTCCGGGTCCAGCGTCCAGACTAAACCTCGTCCGACGTTGTTTATGAAACATTTTCAACCTGACGAAACTCAGAGTTTTCGCTAGGTTGTAACCATGATCACGACGAGATTGCGACTAAGGTAACACTCAAGCGACTGAAAGACTCGAATCGTAGACCAATAAAAATGCTTTACTGCTACGTCCGTCCTCTTATCGAACTGTAATCGTCCGGTCGAGTTGGGAAGGCAATTCACGCAAAATGTTCCATCATCGGTCCGATCGTTGACGACGTCGCAAGTGGTCTAGCGAGGAAAATGACGAAGATAAACGACAACAGTAACCGCAAAAATTCCGGACGACTGCTCATCCGGACGGGCTGAAGTAAAAACTTTAACACGCCCTAATCGTAAGTTCTCCAATTGAAGAACGAACTGGGACGGTCCGAGCAAAATGCAAAAAAAAAAAAAAAACAAACAAAAAACAAAAACAAAAAAAAAAACAAAACAAAACAAAACAAAACAAAACAAAACAAAACAAAACAAAACAAAACAAAAACAAAAACAAGACAAAGTCGACCTAGGGTTGCGAAGCTATTTGTCTAGTTTTATACGTTGTATTTGATGTTCAAAAACTGAACATACTTCATTCAGTTTTAACTACTAAATTTTTTATGAAAAACTTCAACTACCAGTTCAACTTCAACTAATAAACGAACATTAATGAAATCATTAAATTTTTTGACATTAAATTTTGATGAAAAACTTCAACTAACCTTCAGATTCTGAGGCAAACTCAAACCATTGTGCTAAACCCGTCGATACCGTCGTGTTCGTTTATTAATGAAATCATTTTGACGCGACAAATGAGGTGATTAGGTTTTTCACGTTCCCTCCTTTCCTCTGCTTCTTCTCCAACCACTCCTATCTGTCACGCTATTCCAGTTTCTAGGTAAGAGAGTAGCAGCAGCTGGAAGAGTAGGAGTAGCAAGTGTTGCTAATTTGTTAAGACTATCGTTAGCCTACTTAAGTTGACTAGGAGAAAGTTAACTCGAAATCATGCCTTCGTCACGTGAAGAATACCTTTCCGTTTTTTTGTATCATGCCTTCGTTTTTGCTACCTTGTTGTTGTTACTCCTGTTTTGTTGCATATTCAAAGTTCCGTATGTCTTTCTCCTTTCCTTCTCTCTCCATCCGCTATTGTTATCTCTCTTCTCATTTTCTCTCCGTCCGTGTTTCTCTTTTGTTTTCGCTCTTGTAACTTCTTGCTGGAATCGTTCTGCTTGTGCTTGGCGCGTTGGTGACTTTTTGCTCGTGCCAGGCGCGCTAAGGGAGAGGCCGCCACTCTCACCTACAGCTTCTTAGGTAAGCTTTACTTCCTCTATTCTTAAGCTCATAAGAGTTGCGAGGGGATGTTTGTGGAGATTTAGATGCCGATGATGACACTCAGCGTCCTGCGCATTCTCCGTTTACATCTTCCGTTTTTTTATTTAGATATTCCAGTTCGTATTTCTTCCTAATCTCTTCTCTTCTTCTTTCGGTCCGTCATCTCACATCCTATTTTCTCTAATTTTCGGTTTCACATCCTCTTGCATGGTCTTCATGTCCTCCTGGTTAAAATCTCATTCATTCTCTCTTCTCGTTTGTTCCTCCTTGCTCATAGTTTTACATTGGTTGTTTTTCTTTTTTTGAAATCTCTATACTCATGGTTGTGGTCTTTGATGGTTCATTAAGGCTTCTAAACTGCTGTTTCTTATTCTGCTCCTTTTTATGTCCAAATGAACATCAGAAGTTATTGTGAGATTTGTAGAACAGGAATGTGTGGACTATGAATGAAGGCAGTACAAATATGAAACCCTAACTGGGTTGTACCCCCTATGGGATACCCCACTACAGCCTACACTATAGTATAAGCTATAGATATGTTCTGACACACCCCCATAGGCAAAGTGGGGGAGAACAAGGGGTCACAAGACCAGTCAAGCAAAGCAAAGCAAAGCAAGCTCGGGGTGGATCACAAAGTCACCACACAGTCCGAGCACAAGAGCAGGGCCAGAGGCCAGTTCACATGCAGGAGTACAGACATATATATATAGAAGACTAGACAAACAAGAGCAGGTATATATATATGTCACAGTACAAGTAAAGTCAAGAGGAGAGCAAGTGAGGCAAGACAGGCACAAGACCCAGCTGGGTGCAGAAGCGCTGATGGTCACAAGGCGCGAGTGCCTTGGTGAACACATCAGCAGTGTTGGCCTCAGAGGCCACGTACGCAAGCCGGAACTGTCCACGCTGCTGTAGCTCACGAGCAAGGAAGTAGCGAAGAGCAATGTGCTTCGTTCTGTGCTCCAGACGCTGCTCTCGACACAAGGCCAGCATGGCCTTGTTGTCTACGTACAGCACTGGAGGAGAACGAGGCGGCTCTCCAAGGTCAGTCAGCAGGTAGGTGAGCCAGCGAAGCTCCTGTGCAGCCATGGCCCCGGCGTAGATCTCAGCCTCACAACTGGAGCTGAGAACCGAAGACGAACGAGTAGCCCGCCACGAGACAGAGCCGGAACCAAGACTGAAGGTGTAACCCTGTGACGACCGCTGCGTAGCCTGGTCGTCAGCCCAAGAAGCGTCTGCGTGCCCTGTAAGGACCACTGGACTCCGCCCTCCAAGCACTAGCCCCATGCCTGACGTACTGCACAGGTAGCGCAATACCCTCTTCGCTGCAGCCATGTGCTCTGGTCGGTGTCTCCCAGGAGCAACATAGCGTGCAAGAATGCTCAGAGGGTATGCAAGGTCAGGCCGTGTGCAGGTCATCAGGTACATGAGGCAGCCAACAAGCTCTGGGTACGGGCCACTCGACTCTACGGACTCATCCGAAGGTAGAGCTGAGAGCGAGTGGCGAGTAGACAGAGGAGTGGCCTGAGGCGAGGAGTACGTGAAGCCGAAGCGCTGAAAAACCTGCTGCACCATGTGTGACTGAGTCAAGGTAATGGTGCGGCGTGCTCTGTCCCGAGTGATCTGCAAGCCAAGGTAGCTGCGCAGTTCACCCAGGTCTGTGCACGTGTGTCTCTTCAGCAGCTCGGACTTCACGTAGGCGAGTCCAGCAGTGTCCGCTGTGGTAAAGACCAAGTCGTCGACGTACACGAGGATGTAGAACGGCGGCAGAGAAGTGTCGGTGCGCAGAAACAGCGACGGGTCAGCAGTAGAAGGAGCAAACCCAAGAGCCGCAAGCGTAGTCCTCAGTGTGTCGTGCCACTCACGTGGTGCCTGGCGGAGACCGTAGACTGGCCGTCGGAGGCTCCACTGGGTGCCAGGAGGGAAAGTCCCAGTGAAGCCAGGTGGACGGCGCAGCCAGATCTCCTCGTGCAGGCTACCCTGCAGGAACGCAGTGCTGAAGTCGAGAGAGTGAAGCTCGTAGTTGCGCTGAGCGGCTATGTGCAGTAGCACCCGAAGAGTGGTCATCTTCGGGGTGGGAGAGAAGGTCTGAAAGTAGTCAACTCCCTGCCGCTGATTGAAGCCACGAGCAACGTACCGCGCCTTGAAGACAGGTGGAGAGCCCGGCGGCCGCTTCACCCTGAAGATCCACATGCCATTGACGATGTTCGCCCCAGGAGGGGGAACTGCGTCAACGTAGGTGCTTGTGGACTTCCAGGAAGCCATCTCTGCATCCATAGCTGCCTGCCACTGAGACGAGTAGGGACCCTCTACGGCCTCCGCGTAAGAGCGCGGAGTCGGGATGTCTAGTGGATCCGGGTCTCCCTCAGGAGGAAGCAGTACAGACGCAAGATGAGGTGAAGCAGCAGCCAGACACTGTAACTCCTCCTTCCTGTCCTCTAGGACGTCCGTGCCAAGAGCACACTCACCCCCGACGGACGGAGGACAGACAGACGCAGACTCAGCAACAAGGCTAGCAGCGTAGTCTAGACGACAGCGAGCAGCAAAGTCGACGAGCTCAGCGACAAGAGCAGACGCAGCAGTGGACTCAAAAGAGGGGTCAGTGACGACAGTAGCAAGCAGACGCGTGACAGTAGGACTGGCAGCACGAAGAGAGTCCGACTCAGGGTCGGCAAGCGCAGGAAGAGAGGACTCAGGAGGAGAAGGCAAAGGGGCACGCAGAGGAGCAGTGGACGGACGCAGAGACATCCGGTGCGTGCCAGGGACAGGAGGAGGACGCTGACGCGAACCGCGACCACTAGTGCGAGCAGCACGAACAGGCGACGCAGGACGAGACGCAGGCTCACGACGCTCAGCAAGACCTCCAGTAGGACCAGTGTAAGGAGAGGGAGCAGGCAGTGGAGAGGAAGGCTCCAACAGTGACTGTGACTGGACAGGCTGTGAACACTCTACCGGAGGAGAAAGACCAAGAACCTGCTGCAGGAGCGGAACGAAGTACGGTCGAGGCCGCGCGGCAGCTCCAGACTCAGCAGGGACAGCATCAGCACCCTCAGCGACAGCACCAGCGCCACCAACACCTCCACCGGCAGGACCTCCAGCAGCACCAGCAGCAGAACCACCGCCGGGACAGACAGCAGTAGTCTCAGCACCAACACCCTCAGGAGCTCCTGCTCCAGGAGTACCCGCAGGCCCAGCAGCTCCGGGACCGGCAGCACCAGCACCCTCGACGGTCGAAGAAGCTCCAGCTCCAGCAGCACGCCTCCAGCGACGAGCAAACCACTCGCGCAGCTCCTGTGGAGAGAGGGGCTCCCGGCGAGACGTAGCAGCAGGAGAAACCCCAGGCTCAGCAGCTCCAGATGTAGCACCCCCAGGCTCAGCAGCTCCAGACTCAGTACCCCCAGGCTCAGCAGCTCCCGACCTAGCACCCCCAGACCCAGCACCCCCTAGCTCAGCAGCTCCAGGCACCGTACCCCCCGGCTCAGCACCCCCAGGCTCAGCACCCCCAGTAGCAGCACCTCCAGGCTCGGCACCCCCGCGCACAGCACCCCCAGAGTCAGCACCCCCAGGCTCAGCACCCGCAGCAGCACCAGAGTCACCAGTAACCTCGACCGGGTCAACTGCGTCTACCTGGGACACACCTGAGGGGGCAGGAACCTGAGGGGGGAGGGGGTCTACCGGGGGGGGAACTGGCACAAGGAAGTCCGGCGGAGGGGGGAGGGAAGGAGTGCGGTAGGGGAAGAGGCGGTAGAAGGGGACTGACTCGTCGAACGTGACGTCCTGGGAGGACAGAACACGACGAGAGGAGGGGTGGTAAAACTGCCACCCGGGAGCGTCTGTGGGGAAGCCAAGGAAGACACAGGGAGCAGCACGAGGGGACAGCTTGTCCGCAGACAAGTCGCGGACAAACGCCCGAGATCCCCAGACACGGAACGCCGACGCATCGCCAACCTTCCCCGTCCACAGCAAAGCTGGGGAGGTCTCCGGTCGGGAGACTCTGGGCTGAAGGTTGATCTGATGCGCGGCGTACCGAACCGCAAACGGCCACAGAAAATGGGGGGCAGCCGCATGCACCATGGACGTACGGGCGACGTCCATGACAATGCCGATGCGGCGCTCAGCAATCCCATTCTGCTGTGGAGAGTCCGGAAGCGTGAAGGTCTGGCGGATGCCTCGTGCCCGACAGTAGGCTCGTAGAAGGCCGGAGGAGAACTCTCCGCCTCTGTCCGAATGTAGACGCAGAACAGGAAAGTCCGAGCCGAAGCTCCGCCTGAGCTGGAGACGAGCTGCGCGGATCTAGTCGATCAACACCTCAGTGACCTCACCCTTGCTGCGCAAGGGGAAGACCGTGGTGTAACGCGAGTAGTCGTCAACCACCAGCAGGAAGTAGCGCTCGTGACCCTGTCCACGGACGCGGGCTGGGCCCCACACGTCCATGTGAAGTGTCTGCATCGGGGCCTCCGTCGGAGGAAACGGGGAGGAGTGAGGGGTAGCCCGCAGGCGACCCTCGACACAGGGGACACAGGGAGGGCCAGGCCCCGGAGGAAGGGGAGGTAGGGACCGGGGAAGGCCAGAGACGAGAAGGCGAGAGACCATGCCCCGGAGACGAGGCAAGGAGGGGTGACCCATCCTGTGGTGCCACAGGACGGTCTCGTGGGACAGGAGGTGACACGAGCAGGGGGCAGACTCAGGACCAGACCTGGGCGCTGCAGCAAACACCCGACCCGACGCAGCTACCTGACCAGACGCAGGAGGAGGAGACGGAACAGTGAGTGTGTACAGGCTCGACCCCGGCCCACGTGTGAACGTGGTCAGGTGTCGACCCGTGTCCGCGTCCGTGCAGTGGGTGACCCGTCGGCGCGCAGGGGTGAACTGGTCAACCCCTGCATCCTGTAGGTCAGCACCCGCCACCAAGTTCGTAGAGAACGAGGGGAGGTAGAGACCGGACAGGGCGCCAGACGGGACCGCAGGGCACGGCAAGACAGTGGAGTAGCGAGCCAGAACAGGACCCCCAGAGGGGTCTGCCAGGGAGACCGCCACTGGCCGACTAAGCGGCGTGAGTGTGGTGCGGTCTCGAAAGAAGGAGCGAGACGCCCCGGAGTCAAGAGTGAAAGTGAGAGAGGGCGGAGCCGACGCAGTACCTGAGAGAGCAGACTCACCAGCACCTGAGGACTCAGACTCACTGGCACCTAGAGCAACAGCCTCACCAGCACCTGGAGCAGTAGCCTCAACAGCACCTAGAGCCGCAGTACCAATGCACGGGTCGGGCGGGAAACACCGGTAACAGTCACCCTCCTCACTAATAGTCACAGCATACATGGCAGCAAGAATAGCATCAAAGTCAAGATCAAAGATAGCTACTCCTGACCTAGACAGCTGGTCCCAGCGAGGGATCTCAGAGGCGTCAGGAAACTGGCGGCGCCAAGCGTCAGTCAGGCGGCCGAAGCAACGCTGGGCGGGGTGTGGACCACCACACTGCTCACCCGCACGGTCGCCAGTGCGCAGGACGTAAGTGCACGGACCAGCACCCCCACCCCGCTGACGTGCAGCGTACCACTCACGGAGCTGCTGCGGGGAAAGGGTCTCGTGACCACGCTGCTGCTGCTGGCGGTGACCACCACCGGAGCCACTCCTCCTCGACGAGCCACGACCTCCGCCGCCTCCTCCGCCGCCGCCGCCACCACCTCCGCTGCCACCGCCACTCCCACCGTCGCCGCCGCCACCGCCGCCTCCGCCTTCACTCCCACCACCACCGCCGCTGCCGCCCCCGCCTCCACTGCCTCCGCCGACACCTCCACTCCCGCTACCACTCCCGCTACCACCCTCACCTCCTCCGCTGCCTCTCCCGCCGCCTCCACCGCCCCCGCCGCCTCCACCACCGCCCCTGCCCCCCTTGCTCTTGCCAGAGCGACGTCTCCCGCTGGGGGCAGACGCCGCACCGACCGACTCAAAACCAACAAGGTCGGCCGTAGCAGCAGAGGCGACTGAGGGCAGGAGGGGGGAGGGGGAACACCCCTCAAAGATGGGGGTGCGTGGGTCACCACGAGAGGCCCCTACAGCGAGAATGCTCTTCTCGGCTGCTAGGAGGGACTTCTCGAGGAGCTCGACAGTGAGAGTGGTGGGGCAGACTGCGAGTAGGTCGTCCCTGACTCCGCGAAGGGAGTCAGGGAGGCGGGTGACAATGTAGTAGAGAGTGAAGTACTGGAGGGGGGGGGGTTCTTGGCGCAGAACTCAGCAGGAAGTGCAGCGCGGAAGCGAGCGTCACTAGTGAGCAGGTGGGTAATGAGGTCGGCTACTGTGGCAAAAGCAGCAAGGTCGGGAAAGAGGTACGGTAGCATGAGGCGGCTCAGTGCAGCAGTGGCAGGGGTGGAGTAGCGTGCAATAACGGCGTCGTACAAGGTCTGAGCACTCTTGTACGGCCCAAAGTGCGCACGCTCAGCGGGAGGGAGGTGGCGACGCACAGCAAGACGTGCAGCAGCATCGCGTGTGGCCCACTGTGAGCGAACAGTGGCATCCTCAGTAGTAGCAGGGGCGGGAGAGGCACCAGAAGTGAGATCAAAGAGAGAGAGGTCGTCAGCTCTGTCGCACTGTAGGAAAAGCAGTAGGTCGTCTACCCACACGTCAAAGTCGATGGCTATGCCCTCAGCGTCAAAGGTGAGGACACTGGGGGTAGCCATGACAGCAGTAGAGAGAGGGCAGTGCGCAGAGTAAAGCTCAGTGCTCACCAGACAGGGCAGTGCAGGGAGGGCTCGGGCGGCTTGGGCGGCTCGGGCGGCTCGGCGGCGCGGCTGCTGGGCGGCTCGGGCGACTCGGCGGCTCGGGCGGCTCGGGCGGCACGGCTACTGGGGGCGGCTCGGCTACTGGGGCGGCTCGGCTGCAGGGGCGGCTCGGCTACTGGGGCGGCTCGGCTGCTACTGCGGCTCGGCTGCTGGGGCGGCGGGGCCGACAGGTGCAGCAGCGGGGCCGGTAGGGGTAGCGGCGGGGCCGGTTGAAGCAGCGGCGGGGCCGGCAGAGGGGACGGCGGGGCCGTCGGGTGCAGCGGCGGAGCCGGTAGAGGGGACGGCGGGGCCGTCAGGCGCGGCTGCAGGGCCGTCAGAAGGGGACGGCGTGGCCGTCAGAAAGGGACGGCGGGGCCGCGTCTGAGCGGGCGGCGGGGCCGCGGCTGAGCAGGCGGCGGGGCCGCGTCGTAGCGGGCGGCGGGGCCACGTCGTAGCGGGCGGCGGGGCCGCGGTTGAGCAGGCGGCGGGGCCGCGACTGAGCGGGCGGCGGGGCCGCGTCTGAGCAGGCGGCGGAGCCGCGTCGTAGCGGGCGGCGGGGCCGCGTCTGAGCAGGCGGCGGGGCCGCGGCTGAGCAGGCGGCGGGGCCGCGTCGTAGCGGGCGGCGGGGCCGCGTCGTAGCGGGCGGCGGGGCCGCGTCGTAGCGGGCGGCGGGGCCGCGGCTGAGCAGGAGGCGGGGCCGCGTCTGAGTAGGCGGCGGGGCTGCGATCGAAATGGCGGCGGGGCCGCGTCCGAAGGGGCGGCAGGGCCGCGAGGGAAGGGCGACACGAAGGGTCGCTCGAGCGAGAGGAAAAAAAAAGTTAGCGCGCCTCGGGGCGCGCTTCGGTGGGCCCTAGGCGAAGTTCCCACAGGGAACCCGCTCTATACCATGTGAGATTTGTAGAACAGGAATGTGTGGACTATGAATGAAGGCAGTACAAATATGAAACCCTAACTGGGTTGTACCCCCTATGGGATACCCCACTACAGCCTACACTATAGTATAAGCTATAGATATGTTCTGACAGTTATTGCTTTCAAAATTCATGAATAGCCCATATGTTTGCCTAATGCCCCGTTCTTTTCCGCGTTTGTTTTGAATTTGCTTCTCAGGTGATATGTCGTAACCACCAGGCAGTCGAGGCCATTTCGGAAAATAGAAGGATATTGTTTGTCGTTAGATCTTTCACTGTTGTTGATTATGATTTTGCAGCTCTGGTTATTTTTTGCTATTAGTTGTGTGTCTGTGCTTTTGTGTTTGTGCGTGTGTAAGTGTGCATGCGTGTGTGTGTGGTATATGAGAGTGTGTGTTCATCTCATCTGTCATTGCAATATCAATGCATGTCTGTTAATTTTAAGAAGGGGGTTCATTTCTATCATTTCTCATTGGTTCATTGGCGCACTCAGTGACTCGTGTGTTTGCCACTTCGAACTGGATTTGATAGAGTGAACCTCTTTTTTTAAGTTAACAGATTGTATCGTTTCATGTGCTAGTTGATTATTCAAAGACTTTGCTATTGACTTCCCCCCTGTCAGAATGTTATTTGTCTAGCCTGCAGTGGGGTGCTCAATACTGAGTACAACCCCTTAGGGTTTTCTATTTGTGTGTCCTGCTGCTTGCTAGTCCAGTCATTCTTCCTTCCAATTCTCCTTCGTAAACCCTAACTCCTAGTTCTAGAGCAAGCCCACCTACCTCCTAGTGTGGGCCTAGGCTACTAAGCCTAGGCCCCACACCTACTATTCTCACATGGTATCTAGAGCCGGCAAGATCCTGCCGCCTAGTTCATCGGGCCCACCACCTACTTCCGCTGCCGTATTATCCGCCGCGCGCCCCGTGGTGCATTTTTATCCCGCCACGCGCTTCGAACGCGTGGCGGCTTTTTCTGCCCGCCGCGCGCTCGGGGCGCGCGGCGGTTTTCCCGTCCGTCGGAGCGCCCTCGGGGGGGCCTGCGCGCTGCCCTCCCCGCTGCTCGTCACGGCGCCCCCTGCGGGACCAGCGCGGCGTCGCCCTGCTCGTCGCGACGTCCGTGCGGGACCCGCGGGGCGTCGCCCCTGCTCGTCGCGAGCGACGCCCCCTGCGGGACCCGCGGGGCGTCGCCCCTGCTCGTCGCGACACCCCCTGCGGGACCCGCGCGGCGTCGCCCTGCTCGTCGCGACGTCCGTGCGGGACCTGCGGGGCGTCGCCCCTGCTCGTCGCGACGCCCCCTGCGGGACCCGCGGGGCGCCGTCAGATCCTGCAGCAGCAGCCGCCGCCGCCCTGCAGCAGCAGCCGCCGCCAGGCCTGCAACAGCAGATGCCGCCGCCCTGCAGCAGATGCCGCCGCCCTGCAGCAGCAGCCGCCGCCAGGCCTGCAGCAGCAGACGCCGCCGCCCTGCAGCAGCAGCCGCCGCCAGAGCCTGCAGCAGCAGCCGCCGCCAGAGCCTGCAGCAGCAGCCGCCGCCAGAGTCTGCAGCAGCAGCCGCCGCCAGAGCCTGCAGCAGCAGCCGCCCCCGAGCCTGCAGCAGCAGCCGCCGCCAGGCCTGCAGCAGCTGCCGCCACCGACCCAGCAGCAGCAGCCGCCGCTCTACCAGCAGCAGCAGCCGCCGCCGCTCTGCCGCAGCAGCCACCTCCGCCCAGCAGCAGCAGCCGCCGCCAGAGCCTGCAGCAGCAGCCGCCGCCAGCGCCTGCAGCAGCTGCCGCCCCTGGACCCGGTACGCTCTGTGCTGCCCGTGCCTGTGCTGCCTGTGCCTGTTGCTGCCCGTGCCTGTGCTGCCCTGTGCTGCCTGTGCCTGTTGCTGCCTGTGCCTGTGCTGCCCGTGCCTGTGCTGCCCGTGCCTGTGCTGCCCGTGCCTGTGCTGCCTGTGCCTGTTGCTGCCCGTGCCTGTGCTGCCCTGTGCTGCCTGTGCCTGTTGCTGCCTGTGCCTGTGCTGCCCGTGCCTGTGCTGCCTGTGCCTGTTGCTGCCTGTGCCTGTGCTGCCCGTGCCTGTGCTGCCCGTGCCTGTGCTGCCCGTGCTTGTGCTGCCTGTGCCTGTTGCTGCCCGTGCCTGTGCTGCCCTGTGCTGCCTGTGCCTGTTGCTGCCTGTGCCTGTGCTGCCCGTGCCTGTGCTGCCCGTGCCTGTGCTGCCCGTGCCTGTGCTGCCTGTGCCTGTGCTGCCCGTGCCTGTGCTGCCCTGTGCTGCCTGTGCCTGTGCTGCCCGTGCCTGTGCTGCCCGTGCCTGTGCTGCCCGTGCCTGTGCTGCCTGTGCCTGTTGCTGCCCGTGCCTGTGCTGCCCTGTGCTGCCTGTGCCAGTTGCTGCCTGTGCCTGTGCTGCCCGTGCCTGTGCTGCCCGTGCCTGTGCTGCCCGTGCCTGTGCTGCCTGTGCCTGTTGCTGCCCGTGCCTGTGCTGCCCTCTGCTGCCTGTGCCTGTTGCTGCCTGTGCCTGTGCTCCCCGTGCGTGTGCTGCCCGTGCCTGTGCTGCCCGTGCCTGTGCTGCCTGTGCCTGTTGCTGCCCGTGCCTGTGCTGCCCTGTGCTGCATGTGCCTGGTGCTGCTCGTGCCTCGTGCTCGCGCCCTCGTGCGCTCTGCTACTGTCTGCACCCTCGTGCGCACTGTTTCTGCTCTCCCCCCCCCCCCCCCCCCCCCCGTTTGCGGGTATGGGGGTGGCTGGTGTGCATTCCTCCCTTTGCTCCTCCTCCTCCTTCGTCTCCCACTGCTGCAGCTGTCGCTGAGGGGGGTGGTTGTGTGGGAGACTGGGGTTTAGGGTTTAAGGGGGGTGCGTGGGAGTGGAGCTAGCGGTGTAGCAGCGGGTGTGTGTCAGGGGGGTGGGACTGTTTAAGGAAGCTGCATGGAAGTTGCCGTACTGTAGTCCGCAGCACCTGTAGTCCGGGGCGCTGTCCCGGTAGCCCAGTGAGCTAGACTTCTACGCCAGCCGCCCGTGGGTCCGTTGCTCGTCTGCCGCTACTTTAGCCGCGGGGCCTGTTACTCCTGTAGTCCGGGCGCTTAGTCCGGTAGCCGATGTGCCAGTCTGCCTCCTGTTGCCCGTGTGTCTGCAGCTTCAGCCGTCTCCTCCTATCTCCTCTCCCCTCACTCTCTCTCCTCCTCCTCACTTGCCCGTTGTGACTACCACTAGCTTTGCTCATAATTCTTAACTTTAAACTATTGTTTCTTTAACTTGTGTTCAGAATGTGTGGTGACATTGTGATCCACCCTGAGCTTGTACTGCTTTGCCTGCTCTGCTGATTACACCCCACTTTGGCTATGGGGGTGTGTCAGAATGTTATTTGTATAGCCTGCAGTGGGGTGCTCAATACTGAGTACAACCCCTTAGGGTTTTCTATTTGTGTGTCCTGCTGCTTGCTAGTCCAGTCATTCTTCCTTCCAATTCTCCTTCGTGAACCCTAACTCCTAGTTCTAGAGCAAGCCCACCTACCTCCTAGTGTGGGCCTAGGCTACTAAGCCTAGGCCCCACACCTACTATTCTCACACCCCCCATGCTAGGCAGGGGATGCGGTAGCCTAGTTTTTGGGTCGTTAACTATCACGCATTTGTATGATATACTGGTGTGGTGCATTTCAGCATATTATATGCATACAAAAACATTCTCATGCATATATGTGTATTAGTTATGCATCGATATATCATGCCTCATCAGTACATTCATTAAAGCATGCGTGACGTGTAATTTATTACTAGTATTCATAACATTTATTACATGCAATTATCACAACAACATCAAACAGTAACATATATAATACAAACACTATAGCATTTACGCACAAAATTACTACAAAGACTGCTATCAATATTCAACATGCACAATGGGAAGGGTGGTACTGTAGCTTACGGATTTTTCTTTCATGTTTTAAAAAGAAAAAAAACATGAAAAAAAAACTGTCAAAATCGATCGTAAAGGGATGCTTCGCAACCCAAAAAAAAAAAAAAAAAAAAAAAAAAAAGTTACGGCCCTTAGGGGAACTCCGGGCAGCCGGTCAGTGGGTGAAGCGACATTGTTACCGCTATGCGCGGAACCGACGAGCTTAAAAAACGCATAACAGCCTCGAACCTAGACCACTATTACTGAGGTTTTACAAAATCTTGGTTTTCCTGTAAAATTGCTTTTTTTTCTTTTCTTTTCTTTTTTTCGTCTGGATTTCGATGTCAAATTGTGCACGTATCCCCTCGCACCATGTTGACCAAGTGCCGCTGCATCGCAAGGCCCATTACCATATAATATAAACTCAACACTTACGGTATGTGTTAAAAGAAAAAGGGAGGGGGGGGTACTATATGGTTTTCTGCGAAAACAGGGGGTGCCTACAAAGTACGCACCGTAAAAACACAGGTCCCTATATCCTGGATGTCTTCAACTCAAAATTCATCTCATTGATATGCCATGGCACTACAAGCCTTGGTGTGTCCTCTGCACGTGCTCTCTCCACCACTGCGTTGCAAACAGCACAACGACGAAATGCAAGATGGACGCATAAGCCTCAGCCAAACATACACCATGTGCACTATGGTTGTGCTTTATGTGCATGATGTGAATGCACTATGAGCGTGACTTATACCACTGTGACTGCACACAATGAGCAGTATGTGATGCAGATTGAGCATGATGTTGGGTAGCATGTGAATAGGGGATTCATAACAGAAGGCTGCGTGGTTTGAAACATCCCATCAGCCCGCATGACTCCACCGTCCATGTTTCATGCATCTGCAACGTCTGTAGCAGCTCTCCACCACTCTCTACCGCTCCTCACATGTGACCACCACTTTGTTGGGTCTATACAAGATCGTGCACCCTCAGCAACTCACCCTGTGTGCCGCAATGAGGTATTGCATATCGAGGGGGTGTGTGCGCACGTATTGCATCCTGTCTGCCTCCTCTCATCTCTCCCATGGGACGTACATGCAGTATGTGAGGCTGTCTCTGTCCAACCACCAGCCACCCACTCACCCTGTGTGCCGCAACAAGGTATTGCATGTCGAGGGGGTGTGTGCGCACGTATTGCATTCTGTCAGCTTCCTCCCTTCCCCGGGACCACCAGGTTATGTTGTCATGCTCCTTCATTATCAGCGTGCATTCCTTGATGCCTTGCCTGATTATGCCCTGGAGATAAGTCAACAGAGGTCAACGAGAGTCAACAGAGGTCAACGAGAGTCAACAGAGGTCAACGCATCAGCAGAGTTCAGTGATAAGTGGGATCCTTGTCGTGCTTCTTTGGTATCGGCGTGCACTCCTTGACGCCCTGCCTGATAATGCCCTGAAAAACAAGTCAACAGAGGTCAGTTACGCGGCAATCAGAGGTACCCATGGAAACTTGTCCATACATGGCAGTTGCGTGCCTGTTTGAGGCGGTCAGTAGTCAGACAGTGCCTGATCAAGAGGTTGCAAGATGAACAAAAAGCAAGGAAACACTATCTATGGCAATGACGGTAATTGAGGGACTGTCCAGGAAGGTTCAGGAAGTTGCAACATGAACACAAAGATGCGACAGAGCACTCATACGGACGTGGTGGTGCCTGAGAATGTCAGTGGGGCAAGGAGCCACTGTTCAAGTAAGTACCACTTGAACACAAGGACACCAAAAATCACTCACGTGGAAGTGGTGGTGTCTCAGAGCGTCCATAAACAGGTCTGCGCCGCCTGTAAAGGGCTCCTGAACCGCGTGTTCTCTTAGTAACCTCACAACACAAGACACAAAAATTACTCACGTGGAAGTGGTGGTGTCTAAGAGCGTCCATAGGCAGGTCTGCGCCCCACTAGTGGGTCCCTGCACCACATGTGTTTTGAGTCGACTCAGAACACAAGACGCCAAAAAGCACTCACGTGGAAGTGGTGGTGTCTCAGAACGTCCGTAGACAGGTCTGCTCCCCCACCGCCAATAGTGGGTTCCTGAACCACATGGTTCATCACTGCTCGCACCTGTGAGGCAGGAAGGGGAGGGAGAGAGAGGGTTAGAAGGTCGAGGAGTCTGAGTGGATAGAAGGTTCATGTGTGGCGCCTCAAAAGTCGAACGTGTGGGTTCATCCAACATTCGCACCTGTGAAGCAGGAAGAGAGCATTCTCACCCATCTGGGGTCAACAAAAAGCTTGCGGTGGCTGTGGTGGTCCATGCACATGGTGGGCTTCGTATGGTTGTCCCTGGCTTTACAGAATAATATGCTTGTTGAGCCCCCTCAGAATCGAACACCACTCTGGGGCTTCAAGGCAAGAGCACGCTCACCCGTCTGGGGTCCACAAAAAGCTTGCGGTGGCCGTAGTGGTCCAGGCACATGGTGGGCTTGGTGTGGTTGTCCCTGGCTTTACAAAACACCCCTGGCCCGTGCCACAGCATGCGCTCCAGCGGCCACCTGGGCTCTGTGAATGGAATGGAAAAGAGAAAGGGAGCAGATGAAGTGTTAGCGGGCACAGCGGGCCTTGCCGAAGCATACGTATTAGAACATTCTATGGGCAAGAGAACGTACCATATAGGCTTGGAGAGGGCAGCCAGCGATCCAAGTCTCACCAGAGGCTGCCGTGAGTGAGCAGGGCAGTCAGGCAGGGATAGGCCCAAGCCAATCCATGCACGCAGTTCCCACAGCAGAGAGCCCAGCCAAGCAAGAGAGCAAATGGGTTTAGAGGGCAGGCTGCAAGACGGCACAGAAACATACCACCGGGGCCTTGGGAAGGCAGGCAGCGATCCAAGCCCCACCAGAGGCTGCCGTGACTCATGTAAGGCAAGCCAGTCAGGCACAGGCCCGCCCGACCGATGTTCTGCCCGCATCAGAAAATGCAACCAGGCTAGAGAACATACCGTCAGGGCCTTGGGAGGGCAGGCAGCGATCCAAGTCCCACCAGAGGCTGCCGTGGGTGACGTAGGGCATTCCCTCGTAGGGCATGAGGAAGTGATTCACGCTGAGCGGCGTGGGCACACGCTCCTGGAGGGATGGAGGGAGAGGATTCATGGAGAACATTATAGGGCATGCTTTCTTTTTATTAGGCGTTCCCTTGTAGGGCTTGAGATGGGAATTCCCTCGTAGGGCATTGGGAAGTGGTGCACACTGAGAGGCGTGGGCATTGTGGAGGAGGGTGTGTGAGAAAGTGAGAGGGGAGGGGAGAGAGGCGGGTAAAGTTCTGCTTTCGAGATTCACTGGCTGTTTTTTTTCCTCAAGAAATAAAAATTTATACATCTTCATTCCACTAGTTGCTTCAAGATTTTTCCAAACTTCAGATTTGCTGCTCTTCCACTATAAACAAAGACCCTTGGGACATAAAACCGTCTCTAGAGGAGGAGCGGAGTGGGGCATGGGCACGCGTACTTACATGGCCATTGGTGAAGGTGAACTCCCCAATTTTTAAGCCTCAAAAGCGGAGTGGGGCACGGGCATACGTATGTTCGCGGCCACTGACAAAGATGAGCTTGCCGAAGCCAAGGTGCAGATGGCACTAAAAGTAAAAAAGGAGTGAGTGTGGCCGTATGCACTTATTGTTGGTAAAGCTCAGCTATGAACCGCTGAGCTAAAAGCACTTGTTCCATAGCGCACAGCCATAACACCAAAGATCATTCATGCCTGTGAATCTTTGCTAGGATGTTAGTCTTAGAATCACAGCCAGTGGATCACTAGGATAAAAGGGCTTGTTAAGCAGCGAGTGACTGTGTCCATTACCCCTCAGTTTAGCAAGCCTGTAACCTTTCCCTATGATCAATCTGACATCCCGGGTGAAAGTCTTCTAACACCCTTTTGAGACGTCTCAAAAGACATCCCGGGTGAAAGTCTTCTAACACCCCCCTCGTAAGGATGGCCTAGGACATAGCACAGCGGCAACGACATGGGCGCCAGCATGTAGGAATAGACCACTCGGATAAAGGCGTGCTTACCTGACCATCAATAAACATGAACTCGTCAAAGTCAAGGTACATTATCCACTTGGAGAGGCGGCGAAAGCGATACACACACTCGTTCAGTATCATCACCTGGTGGGAGGGAGAGAAGACACACGTGCGGAAGGGATGTAGCTTACATAATCGTTCACTACCTTTACCTGCTGGGGCGAAGAGGAGGCACGAGGGTGGAGCAATATGTATGCAGTTGGTTGACACGCAGTCTTGATACCAGCACTCATGGTTCAATAAGTCACAACAAACTGAGTAAAATTTAACAAAACCCCCTCACATGCACGTGATAAAAGGAATTCACCAAAATGGTTGATTTCTGTTGGGAATTCTTACAGGTCCCTCACCTGCCCATGATACCAGGACTCGTAGTTAACCAAGTTGCAAAAATCCGTCTTTTGAGACGTCTCAAAACTCATTCTTACAGGTCCCTCACCTGCCCATGATACCAGGACTCGTAGTTAACCAGGTCGCGAAAATCCGTGACCTCTGCTATCCCTCCATCCAGTAATGGCTGCAGGTGAGTAGGGAGGAGAATCGGAGGAGAGCAAGATGAGGGGGTAACTTTCAAGATTTTCCAAAGCAGGGATACAAATAGAAAGCTGAAGTAGGGGGAACATGACATACCGGACTGGGAAGAGGAGCTGATCGGATCCATGCTACAACACACAAAGCTATCAGCATGGTATCGTCATGTGATGCTAAGATCAGATGAGTCTCTCAAATATACCGTTGCACACAAATCTACCTCAAGATTACACGAAGCACTTCTTCACAGACAGGGTGTAACCGCGTACTTTAATGATTCATCAATGTTTGCAGTTGCGCCCTAATCAGAATTTCCATTCCACCTCAGTTGCTTGCAGGTGCATCGTGGTGACCGCGCCCACGCCGTTCACGTGTAGATAGGTTATTTTTGAGACGTCTCAAAAATAACCTATCTACACGGTATTTCCATCTCAGTTGCTTGCAGGTGCACTGTGGTGACCGCGCCCACGCCGTACGTACGTACCATAGCGGTCCAAGGCCATGAGGCTTTTTTGTGACGTCCCAAAACCAGAAACGCTGTATGTACGTACCAACCATAGCAGTCCAAGGCCATGCGTCTGTGGAAATGAGAGGAGGCGAGAACTGGGAGCAGCAATGTGTCGCGTTGCTGCTCACCGCAATCAGCGCTCGCAACTGTGGGTCCACCCCGCCCACATCGTACAGGGAGAAATGGTCCACTCCCATGCGGATGTGCAGATCCATCCACTGGTAGATGCGCTCCGAGATGACCTGAATAGAGCGCACGGGATCATGCAAGTTGGTGATTTTTGAGACGTCCCACAACTCGAAATGGTCCACCCCCATGCAGATGTGCAGATCCATCCACTGGTAGATGCGCTCCGAGATGACCTGAATAGAGCGCACGGGATCATGCAAGTAGGTGATTTTTGAGACGTCCCACAACTCGAAATGGTCCACTCCCATGCGGATGTGCAGATCCATCCGCTGGTTGATGCGCTGAATAGAATCCATGGGACCATGCAAGAAGGTGACTTTTCAGTCAACTTAGAAGTCGTCCATTCATCCACAGGTTGATGCACTCCAAGATGACCTGGAGAGATGTGATCATTCAAGGAAGAGGTGATTTGTGAGGCGACACGACACTCACGTGCCATCCACAGGTTGATGCGCTCCAAGATGACCTGAAGAGATGTGATCTGGTTTTTGAGAATTCTCAAAAACCTGAAGAGATGTGATCATGCAAGGAAGAGGTGATCTGTGAGGCGACACGACACGACACGACACTCACGTGCCATCCATCCACTGGTAGACGCGCTCAGTGAAAGGGGGGAAGGGGGGGAGGATGCGTTGGCTTGTGAGGGCGTAACATACCTGGCCGTGAATGGGGGGAGAGCCATGCGTGATGTTGTAGAGGAAGGGGGCATGGACGGGAAAGGGGAGCTTACCTCGTTAGAGGTGGGAGGACAGGAGGGGGAGTAACATACCTGGCCGTGGATGGGGGGGGAGCAGTGCGTGATGTTGTGGAGGAACGGGGCATGCGTAAAGGCAGTTACCACCTCCCCCGGTTGCTCTTCATACACCACCACGTCCTCCCCCTCCATGCCCATGTGCACCCTGCCTCCCCCCGCCACCTGTGTTTCCCTGCATCGTGTTATGCGAGCATGGGGCACAGGGCATGGGGCACACGGCATGGGGCACAGGGCATGGGGCACAGGGCATGGGGCACACGGCATGGGGCACAGGGCATGGGGCACAGGGCATGGGCAACATGTACTGACACTACCTCCCCCGGTTGCTCCTCATACACCACCACGTCCTCCCCCTCCATGCCCGCCTGCAGCCCGCCTCCCACCCACCCCCGCATGTGTTTCCCTGCAGTGTATCACACAGGGCACGGGTTATGGGGCATGGGATACGGACAGAGCATGGGAAATGGGGCATGGGGCATGGGAAATGGCACATGGGGCATGGGACTTGGGATATGGAGCATGGGGCATGGGATATGGGACATGGGCATGGGACTTGGGATATGGAGCATGGGGCATGGGATATGGGACATGGGCATGGGACTTGGGATATGGGCCATGGGGCATGGGGATGGGATACAAGGGACTGGGAGACTGAGACACTGAGAGGCTGAAAGGCTTTTGAGGCGCCTCAAAAGACTGGGAGACTGCGACACTGAGAGGCTGAAAGGCTTTTGAGGCGCCTCAAAAGACTGGGAGACTGAGACACTGAGAGGCTGAAAGGCTTTTGAGGCGCCTCAAAAGACTGGGAGACTGAGCCACTGAGAGGCTGAAAGGCTTTTGAGGCGCCTCAAAAGACTGGGAGACTGAGACACTGAGAGGCTGAAAGGCTTTTGAGGCGCCTCAAAAGACTGGGAGACTGAGACACTGAGAGGCTGAAAGGCTTTTGAGGCGCCTCAAAAGACTGGGAGACTGAGCCACTGAGAGGCTGAAAGGCTTTTGAGGCGCCTCAAAAGACTGGGAGACTGAGACACTGAGA